AATGAGAGTTGAATTTTAAAAAACGTTGAATTCTTCAATAAATTATTTTTTTTTTTGTATTTAAATAATTGAATTGTCGTAGAGTTTTCTAATAATAATTGATTGAGTTTTGAAAAGCAGGTCTCAAATTATAATCTTTGAATGTTTGAATTTTTCATACTTTTAACTTAAAATTGTGTAGATTTAATTTTTTTGTAAAAGTTGAATTGAATTTTTTTGAAGTTATTTCAAGTTTTTATTTTCTAATATATATTTAATTGAAGAATTTCCGAATACCTGAATAATCGATGAAATTTCGTATAATTGAATTGTAAAAAAAAGGATTTGAAAATGTTGAAAGAAATTTTTCAGAAATTAGTAATAATGAATGAATAATTAATTTAAAGAAGAATTTTATTTAAAAATTGTGGAAAACAATAATTGAATTAAAATAATGAAAGTATATTTTGAATAAGTTAGAGTAACAATATTCTTATAATAGGTATAAAATGATGATTTTATCAGTCCAACATTTTTAATTATTATAAAACATGAAGATATCGATTGCTCCGAGTCGAAGACTCGGAGTGATCGATTTCTTTATGTTTTATAACAATTTTTTATAAGGTCTTTAATTTCAAAAAGGTTTGAATTAAAAATTTTGTAAAATATAAATGTAGTTTTAAAAACCTGGAAAAATTCCGTTTTTTAACCTGGAAAACCTGGAAATGTCAGGGAATTTGAAATGAGTAAAAGCGTGGCAACCCTGAGAAATAAAATAAATCTTAAAAAAAAATTTAGCAAGCCTTATTTAAACAAGTTTTAAAAACGTTTTATTCTTTTATTAAAATATTTTCATCAAATTTAATTGTTAATACTATTTACTTGTAAAAATAAGAGAAATTGAAGCAAAACTTCCTTTTCATTAGAAGAAATTAACTGTATAATTTAATTTTAATATTTATAAAACAGAGACGATTAATTGTTGACCAAAAATGTTTAATGAATACAATTGTTTATTCAATTTGTTTAGAAAAATGATAAAGTTATTTAAAAAATAATTTATTTTATATGACAATCTCTGGGCAGCTTATAGAAGAAAACTTAATTCTAAAAATTGGATTTATTTATGTCCAAAAATGTCCCTAAAATGCTATTGTTTATTAAAATTGATTAAATAATTAAGAAAAATTATCGCACTGTCTAAAAGTTAATACTAAATTTTGTCTTTTTATCCCACTGTGGAGCGCAGCAAACGCGGTCACAAAAATATTAATAACTTTTGACCTAATGCGCAATATACTGACTTTTCTTTTTTTGTAAATACTCGTGATAAAACAGGGAATTATAATTGACCAGAAAAAATACGAAATTAGGCGGAGAGGTATATTTTATTTCTATTTGTTTATAATAATTGTTTCTATTTTTAACAAATTATGAAGAAAATCTAACAAATATTTTTTGTTCGAAAGTATGATTATTGTATACGACTCATACCAAATTTTATCAAAATTTATCAAATTGAACGCTAGGAAAAAATTTTTTAATAATTTTATGCGTAGAAATTGTTTAAACAATAACTTAAAATTTAAATTTTGCAAAATCAACTTTTGGGTCATATTTTGGTACGTAAGTACTATAAAATTATTGATATGCAATATAAAAATATCTCTATCGAAAAATTAGTGGCACGCTTCATAAATTTTGAGCCAGTAAGCAAGTATCCTCTACAAGAATTCGACACTGAATGAATTGCTCCCGATCCGGAAAACTATTTCCCGTGTAGAAATGGTGGTCGGATTCTAGTGGAGACCTCACCAGTTTACCCCATTTGAAAAAGGGCTCCAACTAGAGAAACTGGTGGGGTTCTAGTCGATTTTGTCACGCTCTAGTTGATAGGGCCCCGACTAGAAGTTCTAGTTCACTTCTACCGGTTTTAAAAATTATTATTTTTCAACTTAACTTATTTATAATTGAATTCTCCATTCATATTAACATTATTAATGATTGTTGCACACGAAAAATCTCGTGCCTATGAGGGTTCGAACCTTGGACCTTGGGGACACCAGACGGATACACATACCTCTCGGCCATGATAGGTTGGATGGACTTCCGCTTAAAGTACATCCCGTTTGGAAATTCCGCCATTTGTCCCTATCTCTAGTAGGGCTCTCGCTAGATTCTGACTAGAATCTCTAGTCGAGAAAAACTAGTCGGGTTCCAATCTAATTCTAGTTAGATGATTCTTACAAGCATTATTTATTAAAAAAGTTTGCATATTATTTGATTACTTAATGTTTTAATTATTTAAACAAAATCTTTTATTTATTAAGTAAATTAAAAAAGAATAAACCATAAATAAATATTAATTATGTGGATATAATTAATTTTTATTAACTAAATATTGTAATATATTATTTATTATTATATTATTTATTATTATTATTATTTATTAAAACAATTATAGTAAATATAAAAATATAAAAAGTAATGTAATAAATTAGTTATGTTTAATTTTTCAATAACGTTATAGATATAATTAATTCATAATATTTTGAATTTTAGGGAGTTATTATTCATCACTCTTATTTAACTCTGCATTCCTAATGATAGTTAATAATAATTAATTATGACATTATTGAAAAATTAAACATTACTAATTGCAGTGCTTTTTATATTTACTATAATTATTATAATTATATTATTCAATTTATTATTGTAATTATAATATTATAGCATCTTTTTAATTATTATTAAATACTTGCATTAATTGTGAAAAACATTTTAAAGTATAATTGCACATACATATCTTTTTAAAAAAAAATTATTTTTACGAATAATATTACAATATTTAGGTAATAAAAATTAGTTATACCCACATAATTAATATTTATTATGTTTTATTCTTTTAATTTACATATTAAATAAAAGATTTTTATTTAATAAAATTGCTTTATTTGAATTTTTTGTAAAAATATTCTACAATATTTAAAATTTTGTTTAAGAAATGTTAAAAAATTAAATAATTAAATAATATGCAAAATTTTTTAATAAATAATGCTAGTAAGTTTTTCTATCTATTAATCTGAATTATTTATATCTATAGAAAGATAATTTATGTATGTCATACTTGTACACTAGTTTGTCTAGTTTGAAATCGATAAGGTCCTAGTGAGTTTTTTCCAGTCTGAATTATCTAACTAGAATTTGATTGAAGCCCGACTAGTTTTTCTAGACTAGAGATTCTAGTCAGAATCTAGCGAGGTCCCTACTAGAGATAGGGACAAATGGGGAAATTTCTACACGGGTTATAGTAATGGTGAGCAACGCCCATTGTACTTTAAGGCACTTGTAATTGGTTTCCCGCAGGTGAGCCTGGTAGAGTGGGAGGCAGCTGCACGTTGCTAACCAATAGCAAACGTCTCAACGGACGATGGGCGTGGTTAACAACCACTATAAATAGCCACTTCGTTTTGGAAGCACCACATTCCAACGCGAGTACTCGTACAGATCATTACATGTCTTGATAGTGTAGCGTTCCAGTTGTTAATCACCACCATTGCAATTAAATTACATATAATTGTAAAAACCATTTCTGCCTAAAGTAGTAAGCTAATTAGTCCATTACTAAAATTACATTCATTTAACTTTCTAACTAAAACTGTAATTATTAAATAATTATTTTTTTGTAATGCAGTAGAAATATTTTTCCATTTTCCCTCTAAGAAGACATCGTGTTTTGTTGGTTAAATTAGACTTCTCTCGAGTCATGTAAATCAGCTCTTATGTTTTCTTTACCTCACAAGGTTTGCTGAACTTTTCCATGCACCTGGAGTGTCGAGAGTGGGAGAGGCGGTAGAAAAAGTTTTACATCGTAGAATATGGAGAGTTGTTGGTTAAAAGTGGAGGAGAAGGGGGTGGTAAACGTAAAGCTACTTAAAAAAAAGTCGACATTACACTCGCAATATAGTGCCAGATGCTTCGCTGTTTCTAGAATAAGAGGGATTAGGTATTCCAACACTAGCCATTTGCGACAATGAATCAAATTAGCAAACAAATGTTCGCCACCTTTACTTTGCTCCACGTTTTACGACTAATTTATATTTTATTCCTTCCCTAGAGACGTTAGACGGTCGTCGTCGTCGTTTCCAGTTTCTCTTAAAGTGAAGGACGACTTTTTCTCAGTTTTATTTTAAAACTTGATGAAGAAAAATTAAGCGTGATAATAAAATTTAGACCAAAATTGAATGTAGTATCTTTAAAATACCCAAATGTTTTATCGTCTTAATGCTGTAGAATTAAAAATTTTTCTTGATTTTTCTGAAAGTATTTTAGTGATAATCCTAGTCATAAATAATATTTAATATTATTTCTTATTCATTTAGTTTTAAAAGCTATTATTTTCCTTTAACTCACTCATTTAATTAATTCTGACAAGAGGCAATAAAAGCTATTTACTCTTTTATGTACTATTGTAGACTCCTTTATAATTATCATTGCTCTTAACTTTATTAAGAAAGATTTAAAAATAAAATTGTGATTTTCAACATAATTTAAAAAGGTGACCATTAACGTAATTAAAAGAGTGAGAAAATTATAACTCAATTTTAGTTTAAAGGATTATTAATTTAAGCTTTCTACGAACTTAAATCCCCAATCCCTTTGAGAAACGAAATTTTAATATTTTAATGTCCTTCCGGCTTCATCTTATATTTATCATCTTCTACCTTTGCCGCTTCACGTCACTAAGGTTATGGGATTACGTAATTTTCGAACTTTTAAGAACATGATTATTACTATATTATTATTTTTTTTTAATTACTCTTGTATTTTATTAATTTATGGAAAACAATTAATTTTACATTATTCATCAAGCATGTCTTTAAATATTATTAAAATTAAAGTTTCTTTTTTTAATATCGAAGAGGAAAAATGAATTTTTTCAAAGGGAAGTAATTTTTGCCGAAATTCGGACATTGTTCTCCTTCTCGAGATAAAAAGGAGATTTTTTTCTTTTTCAGTCAGCCCATTGGAAATACGGATCGATGGTGCTAACCAACCCTTATCCTCCAGCAAGAAATACGACTTAGTTTGCCTGACTTCTGGTTCCCGGCCACCAGCTCGCGTCTCTTGGTGGAGAAATGAAGAACTCTTGCCACACTCAACAGAAACGGTACGTTACTATATAGGAAAAAATCAATTTTCTGGCTTCTGTTTCCTCAATTTTTTTCTTCTTCCTTTTAAAAGAAAAAAAAAGTATCAGTTAAAGATTACGAGAACTGAGACTTTTGCTCTTTTTAACAATCTAAATCAAACATTTTTCATTGCTTTTGTAGAAAAGCAAACTTCCTTATTTGTTCCTCTCTGTAATTATAAAAATATTAATTTTTCTGAACTGATTTTTATTGTAATTTAAAGAATTTATTGATTTAAATTTTTGTTATAATTTATTATATTTGTAAATAGATAACTTTCAGATATAAATTGATTAATTTGTAATTTTTATCTTCTAATGATTATAAAAGAAATATTAACTTAAAATGTTAAGGGTATCGATTTAATAATTTTGTTAATGAAATTGATGACAAAAAAAAAATTTTTTTAATTTAACAAAAACTTAACTGTGTTTTTCCCTGCCTTTTCCATGATTTCCAGACATAATTTTGACTTTTTCCCTGGCGCTAAAGAATTAAAAAAAAAAAAAAAAAAAAAATGATTAGAAACTCCAAAAAATTGTTCGAATATTTGCAAATTTCTTTAATTGTAAAATTATTCGAAAACAATTGATTTATTTATCATACTTATTTAATCATTATTATTTTTCCATTGAAATTAAGAGTTTCTAAAATATTCCAATTCAAACCTTTTTGAAATTAAGTAACTTATAAAAATATTAAAAATATTATTATGAACATGAAGAAGTCAATCACTTGGACTAACGATTTCTTCATGTTTTTATAATAATAATAATAATTTTTATAATAATGAACGATAATAACCCAGGGATAAAATTATTATTTTATATAAGAATTTTCTTACTCCTAACTTCTTTGAAATTATTTTCATAATTTAAATTCAATTATTATTTTATAGAATTTTTAACTGAAATTCTTCTTTAAATCAATAATTATTTAAAAGAACGAAAAATTTAGATTTTCAAAGATTTGAATTTGAAACCTTTTCAATATTTCAAAACTCAATTATTTCTAAAAATCCATGCTATAATGATTTTAATATTAAATTATTATCTAAAATTTTAATCGGAATTCATATTTCAATCATAATTTTTATTAGAAAATTCTACGAGAATTCAATTATTTAAATACAAAAATAAATAATTTATTCAATAATTGAATTCATGCGATGAATTTTATTAAATTTTGTTTAAATAATATGAATTTTGACAAGAAGTTTATTAAAATTTTTGAAAATAATTTAATTCTTGAAAAGAATTTCGCTACCTATTTATAAAGATAATTTAATTATTAACGAGAGTTTTTAAAAATTTTGCAAATAATTTATTTTCAACAAAGTATTTTATTACTTATCAAAAAAATTGAATTCTTGTGATAAATTTGGATATTTATGAAAATAATTAAATTTTGGAAAAGAATTTTATTGAAATTCTTTAAAATAATTGACTTTATGTGGAGAATTTTTTTTTGTTTATTAAACAAAAAAAATTCTTTTGCAGAATTACGTAAAAATTTTTGAAAATAATTGATTTTCTGCGACGAATTAAAATGATTGCATTTTTCTCAAGGAATTTATTTAAAATTATATTAAAAATATTTGAAGTTCTGTGATGAAAATAATTGAATTCATAAATGAAATTTTATTATTTATGAAAATAATTTAATGTTTTGTTAGAATTGTATCAAAATTTTCTTTCAATAATTAAATCATTGATAAATTTTATGAAAATAGTGAATATTGAAAATTATTGAAATGCAAAAAACTTTTAAAAAGTAATTGAAACTTTGCAAATAATTTTATTTAAATTTTTTGAAAATAATTGAATTTTTGACAAAAAATTTTGCTATTTATAAAAATAATTGAATTGTTGACGAAATATTCGTTAAAATTTTTTAAAAATAATTGAATTTCTTCGATGAATTTTATTACTTTTGAAAATAATTGAATTCTTGTGATGAATGTTGTTATTTATAAAAATAATTGAATTTTGCAAAGAATTTTTTTTAAATTCCTAAAAATAATTGAATCTTTGTGAAGAATCTTGATATTTATCAAGATAATTGCATTAAAACTTTTGGAATAATTAAATAATATTAAAAAAATTCATTCTTGTCAGAAATAGAACAAAATTTTGAAAGTTTTTGTATTAGAATTTGTGATAGTTTGATAGGTTTATGAGACAAACAAAAAAGATACTAAAAATTAAGAATTTTCTTATGAATTTCAAAAATTTAATTTTATCCAGTACTTTTAATAAAAATCCCTGACTTTTCCCTGAATTCCCTGATTTTCCTGACCTGTGGCAACCCTGAAACAATCTGTTGGAAAAATAATTTTTTAAATATTTTATTTTACAACATAATTATAAAAGTATTTTTTGAAACGTTATCACACTATTACAGCAGTTATAAGTAACTTATTTTAGAGTTATAAACAATAATATGAAAGTAATTTTTATTAACTCGTGTATTTCTTTTATACTCTCTTTCTTCCTTTCTCTGTCTTACACTTGACTGATCTAAAATCACAATTTAATGAAAGAAAATTACACAAACCTTTTCCTTCTCGTGTAATGAAGATATCCTTAAGAAAATAAAGAGATTCTTGAGATAAAATGAAAATATTTTCTACTTCAAAAGATTCTTATCCTTATTTATTCTCTTTTCTCATTATGCATATCTTTTTAGAAAATAATCAAAGAAAAGAATATATTAAATTTTTTTATTATTTACTGAATATAAATTTCTAAATAATATTCTCTCTTTGTAAAAAATTGTTATTACTTTTCCAAAGAGATGTATTTAATTTTGTATCAAAATTAATATTATTGTATACAATAAAATTCACTAGAGATGGTTTATTTAGTGTCTGATATATTAAAAACCAATTTTATTAACTTCTATTATATGAATATTGTTTTTTTTAAACGTTTTAATGAAAGATTTTGATTTTTGAATATCAGGGTATCATCTGGCTTCATATATCGTAAGTGGATGTAATTAATTAATAAACGAGAAACATGAAATAATTGAATCTACCTAACATATCGAACTGTGTTACAACACAATTTCCCTCTCTTAATATTTCAGTAATTTTGGTAAAGCAATTAGCTAAAAGCATACTAGAAGTAAAAACGAGAAAATTGTTGCAAATAATACAACAACTTAATTCAATCATTAATAAAAACTTGTAATTATTTTCCAATAATAAAGTAAAACATTTCAGCATATCTCTGGAACAAATTTTTACATTTCTAAATTGTACGTACGTGATAGATAAAATAATAAAAACAAAACGATTTCACATTCAATGATAAAACAATACGCGAAAATGAAAATAAATTGTAAATCATTTTATTTTCAGTTTTAAAAAACAAACATTTCCTTCATGTTATGTAAGGATTTATTTGAAAGAAAGAAAGAGAGAAAGAGAGAGAATAGTATATCTATATTGTTAAAAATTATGAACCCTTTTCCAATACTAAAAGCAACGATAAGTCTTTGCGATTTGTGAAATAAAAAGAAAAAGAACAAGTATAAATGGAGTAAAGTTGATCGACTAAAGCAAATATGACTCTAATACTATTACAGACTTCAAGCGATGGTAACACAACTACAAGCATGTTGCCTTTTATTCCAACGAAAAAAGACGCTGGCAAACATTTATCATGTCGTGCTGAAAATCCAATCATGCCCTCCGCCCCGATAAAAGACGTTTGGACACTAGAAATACAATGTAAGCTTGAAAATCATAATTTGATTTTTCTCCCAACGATATTTCTTTCCATCTGATAGACAAAAGCTTTTTATTTCAAGATAACGAAGTAGGAAAAAAAAATATTTCTTTTCTCATTTACAATAATTTTTAGATGTACCGGAAACAAAAATTAGACTTGGAACATCATTAAATCCTGATGCAATTAGAGAAGGGACTGACGTTTATTTTGACTGTCTAATTCAAGCCGAACCTCCCGTCTATAAAGTCGAGTGGAGACATGAGGTCTGTATAAATTATCATATTTTTAATATTTATGATTTTCGTTTCAATTTAAGGATGTCTGATATTAAAATTTACTAAATTGGCATTCAATTCATTTAGTCCCAAAAGTCTGTTTTTTTCTCTTCACATTTGCACTTATCATTTTCAAAAATGGAGGGCTAAAAAAAATTTGCACATCGTGTTTCTTATGTATTTTTTCGTCCTATTTCAGAATCTGATAGAAAATTTAACTGACAAAATATCGCGTCCAAAATTTGTATGACCTTTCATTTAAACATTGCTAGAAATTTTAATTTTTTCGAAATTCAAAATGGCGGCTCAAAAATGGCCGACAAAATATCTAAAACTTTAAATAGTCAGAAAAATATGACTAATTTAACAATATTTTAAACAATTTTTATAAACAAATTGTTTTCTTTAAAGTCACAAATATTGAAAAGAATTTGTTTGTTTATATATCGCTATTATTTTGATAGTTGCAATGAATTTTGAGGATAAAAATTGTTTAACATTATTATTTAACAATGTTGTAAACAATTTTATAAACAAATTAAGAATTGACAATAAATGAATCTGAAAAATAGTGTCTTCTTCCACACACTTTTTTTACTGTTCTCTTAATGAATCTTTGAGTTAAAAATTATTGACCACAATTGTTTAACAACTTTATAAACAATTGTTATAAACAAATTTCAAATTAACAATAAGTAAACATGTAAAAATTTCGTTTTTTCTTTTACTATTTTTTTCTATAGGATTAATGAATCTTGAAACTTTAATTTACCAACTAATATTTTTCAATGAAGATATAAACAATTGTTGTAAACAAATTACATTTTAACAACGATTGAATATAAAAAACAGTTTTCTTATTATATTTATTTTACTTATTATACTTATTCTCGGATCTAATCGATGACATTTTTTTAAGTTTCCCAATTACTTGCACCAAGTCACCTATTCTGGCGTTTCACCTGTTACCAATTTAATAAATTTTAATTAATCTAAAATTAATTTTAAAGTTTTCAAAGACTTTAAAAATCAAAATTCTTTAGGTGACAGTGCAATCTAATTTCAACTTTCTCGAAATTCTCAGCATTGCATTTCAGAAAATGAAAATAAAGGAATGTTCAATCCTACAAAATTGTCGTATTCAACAAATATTATATTTACATTATAAAATATTATTCAAATATTTGTTAAATACCAGAGTTTTGGAATTTCACATTGTTCACAAAGTTTATTAAATACATATAACGAAAATTTGAATTTAATTATGTTTCTCATCATATCCATCTAGATGTAATAATAATTATTAAATATTATACTCAAAGTAATGAATTTTGTAAAATAATATATTACAATTTGTATTTGTAAAATAATTCATATATTAATTATTACAAACTTCAAAAATATTTTGATATTAACAACTCTTTGTTCAAAAATTTGGCAAACAATTTACATTGTTGAAAATTGTTATATAATTTATAAATGTAAATTATTATATTACAGTTAATTAAATTTTATCAATTTTTATGAAATTCAGATTGTACTCTACTGAAAGTTTTAGATGAAATTAGTAACATTAATTATGATTGTAAATGATTTTATGTAATCTTTCGTATTTTAGGGGAAGACGCTTCATCATAATATTTCATTGGGAATTATAATTAGTAACCAAAGTCTCGTTCTCCAAGGGGTCGAGAGAAAAAGTGCGGGAAATTACACATGCGTCGGTTATAATTCCGAAGGCGATGGTGAAAGTTCACCATTTTATCTGAATGTTATGTGTGAGTTAATTATTTAAATTGATTAATCTCTAGAAATTAATATTTAAAACTATTTCTAATATAACAAGGGAAAGAATTTTAATTAATAATTTAATTTTTGTTTATAAAGTTGCGCCAACTTGCAAGGCAAACCAAACAAAAATACACGGAGTTGCGAAGCAGGAGAAAGCAAATATATCCTGTCAAGTGGATGCAAATCCTCCAAAAGTTGAATTTCGATGGACCTTCAATAATTCAGCAGAGAGTATGGACGTTGCTTCGGGGCATATTAAGAGAGTTGGAACTTCATCAATTGTTTCCTATACGCCAATGAATGAACTTGATTACGGAACTCTCCTTTGTTGGGCTTCCAATCAAATTGGACAACAGCAAGTGCCATGTGTTTATCACATTATTCCCGCAGGTATACCATTTTCTTCTCCATTTAATTGAAGATAATATCCTCCTAATATTCTTGGTTTTTATTGTGATTAATTTCCTTCTATTTAAGTAAAAGAAGAAATTAAAAGACTGATAAATGATTGTTTGTAGGTCGACCTGACATGGTTCATAATTGCACCATCTCCAACTCGTCGACAAATTCCTTTAGTGTAAAGTGTACAGAAGGCTTTAACGGCGGTCTACCTCAATCCTTCCTCCTTGAGGTGAGGGAAACTAATAGCCAGGAACTGAAGGCAAACCTGTCTTCTCCTGTTCCACGATTTAGTGTTACAAATCTTGATTCTGGAGCACTTTATCAAGCCTGCGTGTACGCGTACAATGATAAAGGACGAAGTGAACCATTAGTTGTTCAAGCCGGAACTGTTCGTTCACCGGAGAAGCAGCTCACCTCCGAAACAGGTAATACTCTTATTTAATTATTCGAATATGGGAAATTATTTTTGAATTAATATTTGAATATTTTTACAAAAAAGAGAAGATTTATTATTTTCTGAAACCAAGAACCCTAAGCGACAGGATAGTCCATCTAGATTCAGTAACTGGAGAGCCCTTACGATCTCCTACCTTGATGCGATTATTTACTATTGATTATCCTCCGGGAACGTCTGCTAAGAGGTCACTCACATTATATGATACATATTTTAGGGAATTCACATATCCGTCCTTGCGTGATTCGTTCTCTAATGTTTAAATATTAAATTATAATGTCCTTTCCGTTTACAAAACTTTATCACTGAAGCATTTTGATACGCGGCTTATTTTTGCAGAGCAAAATTAATTTAAATTGATAACTATTCATCGATAACCATATCGATATAATTATCACATGAACACCTTATTCCAAACCTAATTCATTCGTAATTAATAATTCAAAATGATATTTACTTCCCGTAACTGTAGGGCAATTTCAATCTGTCGAAAAATCCCCCGTCTTCTAATTACATCGATCCAATTTACCTTATCTTTTTGATCGAAACTCGGTATCTAGTAAATAGTTCCACGATAACAGAATTCTTGTTTTCAATTCGGAATTTAGACTAAAGTACCATTTGGAAATTTAAGAATCAGACTACCGACTATTAAGATTCAATTAAATATCATAGTTACAAATGGAACATAAAACATCTTCTATTACCATAATATTTTAATGTAATTTAAAAATTGGAATAAATATGGTGAAATTTGTTTTTACAGAGAGACCGAGGCAACCAATTAAATTAACACCAATGCTGAGTGTAATGATTGGAGTTGTCACCGCACTTGTAATAGTCGCTGTAATTGTCATGGTAGTCTTGAAATTACAACATTCACATACTGACGATCACGGCAAACCACACGTGGAGAATCATGAAAAAGTCACAAAAACTATTCCCATTCAACGTGAGCTTCGATTCCGAGAAGGAAGCAATGTGATAACGGATGAAAAATATCCCACCAGTCCTTTTAGGAAATTAGATCCAAACGGCGATGTCAGTGAGAGTGACGAGAAAAATCCCGACATCATTCCACAACAAATAACCGGTTTGTTTCCAAACAAATGTTTCACTTTTTTCCTCAAATAGAGAATTTACTTTTTTATTTTATTACTTTTAAAGTATCGATTAATTGAAATAATTTTCTTCCGTTCCTATTCAGTTTGTTTCTTTACATTTGATATAGTTTGATTTTAAACCAGTAGGAAAAATATTTGAATTATATAATTGAACCGCTGGCGACTGAAAAGGATTACTCAAGGTTTTCATTGGCCCCTCGAATAGCGGAGACTCGCTGAACGCGGGATCAACGAAAGTCACGCGTAAGCCCTTTTAGTCGCCGGCGGTTTAATTAATATTATTTTTGAGGAGAAATTAATGTGTGATTTTCATTTAGGGGACGAACCCTCAGATTATTTAAGAAAACGACGTCTTATCTCAACAATAGAGACGTCGCCAGCTAGGAGTCTTACAGAACGTTCAAGTTCCTCAATGAGTACACATGGAAATTTTGTGGGCTATTGCACAATTCGCAATGGACTACCTCTTCGTGAACTCTCAAATATATCAACGAAGCACAAAAACGTGAGTAATTTAGAATCTTTGAATTATAGACTTTATAATCCTACTGTTCATAAAATTTTTAAAGTTTAAATACAATAGCTGTTTAAACACATTACCGATGAAACCCAGTAGGACTCAAAGCAAAATTTATCGGCGAAATTAAATTTCTTATTCTTTTCCAAATTGTCGTTAATCTAATCTAAAAGGAGTTTAATACGGGTTTCTCTATTAAGAATGTGGACCCACTGTGCCAAACACAGATCATGAGGGTTTCATCTTCCAATTAAAACAAGTCAAACTATTTAGACTATTACCGCGGATGGTGCCAAAGCTTTTGGAATTATTACTTACAGAAAGGAAGTTTCTCTAATTAAAACCAAAAGGTGACCCCAACAAGGAAACTATCACCGCGGATGTCAACATCGCTTTAGTATTGAAACCATGAAAAGTGGAGACTTCCTAGTTAAAACCGTAGATGATCCGAATAAGGATACTTTCACCGCGAACGTTGCAAAAGTTTTAGGAACAAGGCATACAAAAAGAAAAGCTTCCTAATTATTATTAATTAATTAATTATTAATGGAAAATAGATAATTCCGAATTAAAACAGTAGATGAAGTCAGTAAGGAGATTTTCATCGTAGATGTCAATAATATTTTAGGAGCAAAACCTGCAATGCGGTAATCTTACTAATTAATGCCGCAGATGACCCCAATAATCAGACCTTATGTCAGTGAGTGTCTCTAACAAAAACCGTTGATGACCCCAATGAGAAGACTATCAACGCGGATGTCACCAATGATTCAGCAGTAAGACAAGCAAAAGGAGGCTTCCTACTTTATAAGGGTAGAATTTGCAATATAGAATTTTACATAGAAAATAATACATCACAAATTTACATCACGACCCATTATTCGAAAAACTAACTTCACCACAACAAATCTCCACAAATCTCATCGGGGAGTTCCTCTTCTTCAAGCTGCGACGTAAAAATAACTTGAACAACGAACCCTTTCTTTTAAATAAATAACCGTTGAGACGCTACCAAATTATAACGTCTTTGGCACTCTCAACCGTTTACAACACAAAAATATAAATAGAACACTTAAAACTGTCAATTACCAAAATAAAAACTCATTTATTAATAAAAAAAGAAATAAACTCTAAATCAAACAACAAAATATAAAATAAAATATTAAGTAATAAGATTCGATAATTGACGCTAATCAAAAATCACGTCGCGACTACTTGAACCTCTGCAAGTAATTGACAAGCAAGTGAAAATCCGATCTCCTCATCACCGGTAGGCTTTCTCATCATATTTTGCTTCTTCATTTTTCCTATGGAAAATTAAGAAGAACCCTTCTTTCTTATCCCCACTGTACAGCACCTAAAATGGTCTTGGAAAGGGTCATTGGTCATGAGACGGTCGCTGACAACTAATCAAGCGCGAAATCATTTAAATTCAGATTTTACGAATGACACAGATCTTGGGTCGCTAAACCAAGGACACACACAAGGGACTTGACAAGAAAACAGGACAAAACTATGATAAGAGAGAGACGGACGAACAACTCACTATATTGAAATTTACTTTTCTTACACATAACAGATTTGAAGAAATAAGTAACGATTCACCTCGTTACAAGATTATAATCGTAGATGATACCGATAAGAAAACTTTCATCGCGGATGTCATTAATGATTTAGGAGCAAGGCCAACAAGGAGAAAGACTTCCTCCTAATTATGACGGCAGATGATTCAAAAAGGAGACTTTCACCGTGGATGTCACAAAAGGTTTTGTAGTAAGGCGCGCAAAAGCAAGACTTCCTAATTAAAACCGTAGACTTTCACCTCGAATGTCACTAAAACTTTTGGAATTATTACTTATGACAGGGAGTTCCCCTAATTTCCCAAACTACAGATGACCCTAATAAGGAAACTATCACCTCGGTTGTCACCAAAACTTTAGGAGTAAGGCCAAAAATAAGAAAGAGTTCCTAATTTATACTCGTAGATGATCCCAATAAAGTGACTTTCAATTCCGAAATTGATTCCTTACAAATTCTAATTTTGTTTCAGTGTTTCCAATAAGACTTCTGGATCTATCTACTCTCTATTGTGAAGGGTTCAAAATGTTTAAATATCTAAATTTTAATACTGACAGTTTCTCTTTTCTTTAACCTGTACCTTTAGTTCAGAATCTTCGGATATACCGTCGTGGAGATTCTTTAATTAAAAGCGTAGATGACCCCAATAGCGAAACTTTCACCGCGAATGTCACCAAAGTTATTAGAAGCATTACTGACAAAAAAAGGGAAATCTTTTTGATGAAAATCGGAGCAATAAAAATACTTTTGTATCTGATGTCACCAAAACGATCAGGAGAGAGAGCAACAATCTAATAATGAATCAAAATCATTTTGGATCTGCGACTTGAATTGCCTTACCCAGAAAGAAGGATTACAATAAATGGAGACACTATTCGAGAAGACAGAAAATAGTATGGTGAATATTTTAGAACCGTCTGCTCCTTAAATCAGTAGAAGAGTAATGGTCTCTAGGTGTCATCGGTGGCTGGGTTATGGCCACATAGGAAGAGATTGAAAGACGGGGGACAAATTGACTGCGTGCTTTAAGTGCTGAAAAGTCGATTACACCCAGATCACGAACCGGATTCATGGACATAGTGAATTGTTAAAACTGATCCAATCAGTTATTTAAGTATTAGATATCTTCCTGGGAAAAAGATTATTTTATTCCCTTTTGGTTTTATTAAAAGATTATCATTGAGATTATAGTTTCGTTATCAGTAAAAATCTTCAGAAAATAGTTATTAGGAATTTGATATTTTTCTGTCATGACTATTAAATAATTTATTGGCGATAGCAAAATTTTATGAACCAGTAGATATCTCATTACCCACTGGAATATAAATTACAAAATTTTCTTGTTTAAATTTTCAGTTTCAACCGGTAGTTAGTGAAGTTTACGAAAGTGGAATGTGCACTCTGCCAAGGCAACATTGGCCAAGTCACAGTGTTCAATCGATGACAATGGGAGGAATAAGTCCATCGGTTTTATACACAAGTATGAATGTAGTGAATCGAACTTGTCCAGGTAGTGTAATTTTGCCAAAGGAAGTCGAAGCAAGGATTCAGGGACAATGCTGTATCCAATCGCAACGTGAGACATCACTTGGCACTCCAGTTGTAATGACCAAGAGGGAGAGTTCAGTGTGACCCTAAATCACAAACCGACTAAATCGGGAACTAGGAATAAATCATTTTTCCATAGAATGTGAGGAAAAGCATTTTTTCTAGAATATCGACACGCAGATGAGTAAGAAAATAATTTTTAAAAAAAACAAGAAGTAAATTATTTCTCGAATGAAAGAAAATCAATATTTGTAGAACGAAAGTAAAGAATTCACAAGAGAATGAATGAAACAACAAAATTTCTAGAATGAAAAACAAGAAAAAGGTGAAAATAATTCTAGAATTTATTTCCAAATTGTTTCCTCTTTATTTTTTTATTTTTTGACATTGTCAATGAGTTTTTTATCATCCAACGATTTTGTAATTAATTAAACATCACCTATGTTCAATCAAGTGCCCTTTTACATCGAAGGTAACTCAAAACTATACTTTAAAAAAAATACTATTAATTATTAAAAATCGTGAATATGTGAGATGTGTACGTATTTGTTGAGAGCGATTTTATGTCTATTTGTAAATATTTTGAAAACAAAAATATTTTATACAAAATTGCTAGTGATAATATGAAAATGATAAATCCCTTTAATGTGTACAATTCAAGTTTGCGATATCGAAACTGAGTATATGTAAACTGGTACATGTGTATGTAAATTAACTATGTAAATAGATAGAGGTAAGAAAAAATGAGCAGTCAGGAATAAAGTGGACTTGACGATGTTCAATATTGTTGGATAAAGAAAACATATCTGGACGAAATAATAATAATCTATGTGAAGGGGGAAATTTCATATTCGGTCCAATTTATTCTTAAGTGGTCTCAATTTTTTTTCACCACTCTGTAATAGAACGAGGCGAACAATTTTTCCAAAAATAATCCCTCGAGACGAGACTGATGTTATATTTCTAATCTTTTAATTTTTATTAATTAATCTTTCTTCGAAAAGATACTGCAATTTTTTTTCTCCTCTCTTTAAATATTCAGATTGCAAATGGTGGTCGACGAAATCGTTTCGTTCGGATCTTCTCGTGCAGGCTCGTAAAGGTTCGTTACGGCACGAGACTACACGAGAAGACACCGTCAGTAACAACCAAGGAGAATAAAAACAGGAGGGTTTTCAAGTTTTTATAAGGTACTTCTACAATACCTTTTTTACACCGGCAGGAACAAATAACACGTGTAAGAATGTTTGGTTTATTTAAGATTTTAGTCTCACTGATATAAATACAAATTAATATAATAAATTACCTAAAAATATAAAATAAATAATGAATAATAAATACAAATATATGATATAAACCAAATTTATGAATGTAAAGTAATTAGAAATAATTCATTACTTTAATAATTCATTATTTATTGAGTTTAATTATTAAATACTTTGCGAAACTAAAATTTTGGACAACTACATGACAGTGAATTTTGTTTGAGTCGATAGAAAAAAATGTTGTTGTAGAATCTCTATTAAAAACTCATCATGGTAAACAAATCAAATTGCACTGTCACGAAGTCTGAATTACGTCATAGAACTTATTTTGTTTCTGAGCATTCCAGAGTATTTGTTTCCTTTTCTCACCTTGTTTTTACTATTTACAATATATATCAATATACTTACCAGGAAGGAAGAGTAAGGAGACCGAACTCTGCTTCTACCACCCCAGTCCGACTCCTATGTATTTTGAAGGAAAAATATGTCAGCTTAGTGGTTTGCGTTTTCATGTGCCAAAAAGTAACACGTGATGGCGCTGTTCTCAACACTCGCTCAAAATTCACTAAAGCAATAGAAAAATATCATAGAAACGAATAAATTATTTGTTTTTATAATGAAATCTTGTTGTTAGTGATGTTAAAAATACACGATAAGAAATAATATTGTATTTTTAACTCATTAAAGATGATAGAACAATTGAATAATTAGTATGAAAATACATAAATGTGTTGTACAATAAACTGATGACTTTCGTTTAAATAGTTTAAATTATCAGATAAACTGATTTATAATAAAAGTTAAAGGAAAGTCATAGAAAAAAAGTATATTTAAAATAAAGAAACCCCTGTCCGTCTTTCCCAGAAAGTAGTCAGCTTAGTGGTTTGCACTTTAATGTGCAAAAAAGTTCCTCGAGATGGCGCAGTACTCACTACTCGTCAGCAATATTCGTTACCTCATTCATTATTGTATTTGTTGTGTTGAAATCGGTTAGAAATCTCAACTAAATTTTATAAAAAAATGTGAAAGTAAAAAAAGTATTAACATTAAAAACTATTTTAATGTTGTAAAAAGAGCATATTGTTTAAAAAATGAAAATGTTTTTAATAAGTAGCCGGCAAAGCTTGCCTTAGTTTAAAAATTTTAAAAAAAGTTTAAAACTTTTAAATTTTTATTTAATATTATATTTTTTATTCATTGTATACGTTCATGTTTGTTTTTGTCTTGAGTAAAATTTCATCTCAAATAATAAATAAAAAAAATGGATTAAAGTTAACCCTCCGTCACACACCTAGGGAGGGATTCCCTCTACGGTTTCAGTATTTTTTAAATAACTTTTGTTTTCCTCATTGCAAAATAAAATCAGTTTCGATACCTTTCGACAATTTACTCCTCAACACATTTCTAAAAAAACATTTAGTTTAAACATAATTAATATTTAATTATGAAGCTTCAAAGCCAGAAGAAACTCGAAAAAGTGAGGTTATGTTAAATAAAAAAATCAAGTTCTAAAAACATTTTTTGTTCCACTGTTGGTTGATGACAAAATTATATTATAAATATAATTAAAATAAATTGTTTAATGATTTTTTTGCTTATTTGTTAATGTTACATTATTTTTACATGTCGAGTGGAATTTCTTTGAAGTTGTGCATTCGTGTAATTAATTTTTATTTTTGAGACCGAAAATTAATTTGATTAATTTTATAATTTAGAATAATTTACTACATATTTGTAAGTTTGTGTTAAAACTAAATTTTTGTTGATTCCTTTGTTTATGTTGTAATGTTGCTTATTTTACAATGTGGTGAGCGATTCCCTCTGAACGTGTGTAAGGTCGGAATATTTTCTCATGTGTGTGACGGAGGGTTAATGCTATTTATATTATCTAAATTTGTTTTCTTTATTTTAAATATACTATTTATCTATGACTTTCCTTTAACTTTTATTATAAATCAGTTTATCTGATAATTTAAACGATTTAAACGAAAGTCATCAGTTTATTGTACAACACATTTATGTATTTTCATACTAATTATTCAATTATTCTATCATCTTTTATGAGTTAAAAATACAATATTATTTCTTATCGTGTATTTTTAACATCACTAACAACAAGATTTCATTATAAAAACAAATAATTTATTCGTTTCTATGATATTTTTCTATTGCTTTAGTGAATTTTGAGCGAGTGTTGAGAACAGCGCCATCACGTGTTACTTTTTGGCACATGAAAACGCAAACCACTAAGCTGACATATTTTTCCTTCAAAATACATAGGAGTCGGACTGGGGTGGATAATATAAATAGCATTAACCCTCCGTCACACACATGAGAAAATATTCCGACCTTACACACGTTCAGAGGGAATCGCTCACCACATTGTAAAATAAGCAACATTACAACATAAACAAAGGAATCAACAAAAATTTAGTTTTAACACAAACTTACAAATATGTAGTAAATTATTCTAAATTATAAAATTAATCAAATTAATTTTCGGTCTCAAAAATAAAAATTAATTACACGAATGCACATCTTCAAAGAAATTCCACTCGACATGTAAAAATAATGTAACATTAACAAATAAGCAAAAAAATCATTAAACAATTTATTTTAATTATATTTATAATATAATTTTGTCATCAACCAACAGTGGAACAAAAAATGTTTTTAAAACTTGATTTTTTTATTTAACATAACCTCACTTTTTCGAGTTTCTTCTGGCTTTGAAGCTTCATAATTAAATATTAATTATGTTTAAACTAAATGTTTTTTTAGAAATGTGTTGAGGAGTAAATTGTCGAAAGGTATCGAAACTGATTTTATTTTGCAATGAGGAAAACAAAAGTTATTTAAAAAATACTGAAACCGTAGAGGGAATCCCTCCCTAGGTGTGTGACGGAGGGTTAACTTTAATCCATTTTTTTTATTTATTATTTGAGATGAAATTTTACTCAAGACAAAAACAAACATGAACGTATACAATGAATAAAAAATATAATATTAAATAAAAATTTAAAAGTTTTAAACTTTTTTTAAAATTTTTAAACTAAGGCAAGCTTTGCCGGCTACTTATTAAAAACATTTTCATTTTTTAAACAATATGCTCTTTTTACAACATTAAAATAGTTTTTAATGTTAATACTTTTTTTACTTTCACATTTTTTTATAAAATTTAGTTGAGATTTCTAACCGATTTCAACACAACAAATACAATAATGAATGAGGTAACGAATATTGCTGACGAGTAGTGAGTACTGCGCCATCTCGAGGAACTTTTTTGCACATTAAAGTGCAAACCACTAAGCTGACTAATTTCTGGGAAAGACGGACAGGGGTGCTTCTACAAATGTCTGAGAAATATGCACGAAAAGTGCCAGACTCACTGTGTTCTAGTTGATCACCAATTAAGTCGATCATGCGCATTGAACTAAAGTTCAGTGTTGACATAGATGAAAAGTGTGATTATGTCAAGGTAAATATTACATAGTTTAAACAGTGTTAATTTTAAAAGCAAATTTATTTATTTACAATTGTGATATTATTTAGATTTTCAAAATAATTTAATAATATATTTATGAAAAGGGAAAAATTTTGCGAAAATGGTTAAGAAGAATTGTGTTTATAACTAGAGTATATTTACATACCGTAGAAGGATAGACGAGACTAATGTTTTTAGACTCTTTTTCTTTCTTTACATCCTGGCACACAACACGACATTTTTTAAATAAAATAAATAAATAATTATTAAAACGAAATGTATTGTATATGTATGTATCTCACTAAGACCGGCTAAATGTAAATATTAGATCTTACATCTCACTCGCACAATTTTTACGAGAAGCAGAGACACAACACAGCTTATGCGCATGATCAACTTAATAAGGTAGTTCAAGTTGGGTGGGGGAAATCCAATATGGCTGCCATCAGCTGATTTACTGGAGGACAAACAATGCATTGAATTCAATGGGACAAATCAGTTTTTTAACCATAACTTTTTAAATATTCATTTTTGAACCATAGTGTAATGGAAAATTATTCTTTATTTATCGAAATCTATTTTTTAAAACAATAAAATTTAATTTTTTGGTTTTATTGTTTTAAAAAATAGATTTCGATAAATAAAGAATAATTTTCCATTACAATATGGTTCAAAAATGAATATTTAAAAAGTTATGGTTAAAAAACTGATTTGTCCCATTGAATTCAATGCATTGTTTGTCCTCCGGTAAATCAGCTGATGTCAGCCATATTGGATTTCCCCCACCCAACTTGAACTACCTTATTGGAGGTCGACTAGAACGCAGTGAGCCTGGCACTTTTCGTGCATATTTCTCTGAGATTTTTAAAGCGCTTTCTACACAGAGTTCGGTCTCCTTACTCTTCCTTCCTGATACTTACATTCTAAACACAAGGGATTCACGAATGCATTTCATGAGATAAAAAAGGATAGTTATACATATACTCGTGTAGGATGCGCAGAATCAAAAGAAGCAAACTGACGCACCCAGTGGACTCCTATCCCTGCAATTTCTCTCTTACCCCCACCACTTTACTTAACTCTCCCGTCTCTAGTCTTCTTGGTGACACAACCTAACCAAAAAAAAGAAAGAAAAATCAACTCAAATACTGAAAAAGCAGCGCAAATTGACATTGTTATAATTAAAATCATTAGAAGTACGTTCGACAAACTAATTAACACAGGTAAGAAATTTTTGTTTTCTTTTACAAATATTAAAAAGAACCGGAGAAAATGCATAATGAAAATAGTAAACTGTACGCGCGATAGAAAAGGAAGAATGATGTTTCTGTCCTTTTCTTTCTAACGCAAAGTTCACCATTTTCAACGCGCGTTGTCATTTGTGCCCAATTATTATTCTGCCGTACTGACGAAGAAAGTTACTATCTACAAGGTGGACTTTCTTCGTCAGTACGGCAGTATTAATATTATTATCATTATTATTATTATTATTACTAATATTATTATTATTTTTGCTATTGTTACTTTCATTATTACATTATTTGACAAAAATTAAAATTATTTTCATTTTTTAATAAAAAATGTCGAATAAAAATTTTTTTTAAAAATATTTTCTCTGCTGAAAAAAATTATGTTTTGCCTTTTTCCAATACAGAGAGATGAAAAAAATCAACTGTACAATGTAAATAGAAAAATTTTTCTTCTATAATCATTGTACCAAAAATATACTGTTGTTTTTTGGAGGAAAACAAATTTTTTATCTCACTTATTAGCCAAAAAAACGCCGATCAAAAATTTCTAACTTGTCGTAAAATTTATGCTATAGAATTTTCTAATTACTGCCTGTTTAAAGAATAAGAAAAAAACGTCATCATCTTAAAATTTCATCATTTGGAAATCGTAAATTAAACATTTAATCATATAGCATTTAGGCGCAATGAGATAATTAAAAATTAAACAAAAAAAAGAGAAAGAAAAATTATCATATCCACTCTTTTCTTTTGAAGAAAATTTATAAAAAAAATAGTTTATTGAAGATTTTAAAATTCGAAAACTGGTCTTTTCAAAAAAAAAATTTTTTTTTTAATTTCTAAGAGAAGAATTACCTATGTAAAATAAAAAATTTACACATGATAAAATATCCAAGTTTTCGCCCCACTTTTTGAAATATTTAAATCGAAAAAATTTAAAATTAAAATTGTATAAAAACTTTCCAAAAATTTGAATATTTCAATTTTTCTAATTTTACATATTCACACGCGCAGTTTATTTTTTTATTATTCATATTGTTCATCATTTACAGAAATAAAAGTGAGACTATAAAAAAAGAGAGAGAAAGTCAAATTGCGAATAAATCGTAAAAAATTAAAAAGAAAATGTTTGAGTTTGATACTCAACAATATATTATATGTTTATCGCTGAGTTGAAAATTAAAAAATTTTTTAAACATAAAGAATTTATAAAAAAAAATAATTAAATTGTTATTCATTGCCAATGATGGAATTAAAATACTAAACTGTTATTATTAAAAAAAGAAAAATTAGAGAAATTTAAAAAGACGAAAAAAGTTTATGCGCGATAATATTCAGTAAATAATGCGAATTTAATAGATATGGAAAATAAGTTTAAAAAAGGAAATTATAAAAATTTGGATTAAATATAAGAAATATTTTATTGTGAAAATTGTCGTTATTAGTAGAGACAGTCTCTTGGTGAGGTTCACTCTTGTTTTATTGGCTCTCACTTTCAAGGTCAGGTGTCAACTAATCGCCGTTGCGTGACCTTGAAAGGCAGCCAATAAAATGAAAGGGGCGGTCGTGTGGGACGTTCTTAATTTAAAGCAACGAATTGAAAAGCATATTTAAGTACGAAAAATATCGTTTTAAACAAAAAACATACATTACTGACAAAAATTTGTTAATTTTATTTCTAAATATCAGTAAATTATTATTATGAATTATAGTTTGACAGTTTCTTCTTCCCAATGCACAATCGATTGAAAGAGCTTATATTTTTTTCTGTCAAAAATTGATGTTTTACTTGCAAAAACAAATATTTCAAATTAAAAATATTTTTTCTTTTAACATTTTGATTTAAACTACTTTTATTTTCCATAAATATTATTTTTTCTATTTCTTTATATTCTTCATTGTTGTTTAATTTTATTTTTTGGCGTTTTTATTCGTTTTGTTTAAAAAAAAAAGCCGAAACATAGTTTTCTATTTTAATTTCAAATTTTTCTATTCCACCTTCCGAATGGAAAAAAAATCTTTTACCATCAAAATTTTTTCTATTTCAAACACAAGACTGATATTCAAATATTTATTCAATATTAAAAATTCAGCCATAATTTCATATTTAAAAGCAAACGCAGCGAGAGTAAAATATAGACCGAAAAATGTTTTTTTGACAGAAAAAAAAGAAATTTAATAAAAAATCATATACGACTGGAAATTTTTTTTTTTTCAAATCCTCTTTAATTTAAAATATTCTTTAAAAAAATTTGATTTTCGAAAATTTAAGAAAATATTTCATTTTCAAAATGTAACAGAACAAAATAATAAGTATTTCAAGAATAAAAAAATGGAGAATAATCTGATATTGCAAGCTTACTATTGTAAATAATATATATATAAATAAATAATATTGCACACATCTAATGTAATAACGTGTAAGAAAGATCGCTATTTTCATGGGTAATATTATGCAATTCTATTAGGGATGAATCTTTAATTAAAAAAAAAATACAAATGTATTTGAATGGCACGAGACTGTAATCAAGTTTTTTCCATTATTAATAATTTCGAAAAATTCCCAAAACACATTCAATGGAATTGGGGGTGGGGGGCAGAAATACTAAAACTTTTATTATTTGTTATTAATTACTAAATTGTTTATTATCAATTTGTTTGTCAAATAAATAAATTGCTTCTATGAAGCATTTAATTATGTTTTTAATAAATGAAAAATTTCTTTTACTATAAGTAATAATAAATTAATTATTAATGTTAATATTGAATAAAATTATAATAAACAATTAATTTTCGAAGAAAAAACTAATTTTCAACAATCCGGAAAAAAATGTCTATGAATGTTCCAAAAATGTAAATGATATTTTTAAGACCAATAAGAAAAAGAAAAAAGTCGTTTTCTTTTATATGAAGAAAAATTGTGAAATAAATATTAAAGCGAAAAAAATTTGTGTATTTAGTTTATAGAGTGTTTGAAGTCGAAACTTTTCATGTACCCCAGGATACAGAACTGTTTTTCGTTTCTTTTTTATTGTAAATATTCTACAATAAATAATCGTTTTTATTCAAAAAAAAAAATTGCAATTTAAATTATTTAAAAGCAAAAAAAATACGAAATTGGCAAGAGATTTAAAAAATTCAAAATGGCGGATTCAATATGGCGTCTTTTTTAAATTCCTCAGTTGTGCTATTAAAATTGCGAATTTTTTTCCTTTCTAATATGAATCCACCAAGTTGAATTTTTTGAAATCAAACCCTAAGATACTCAAATTAAATGAATTAATTTGAAAAGAAAAATTTTTATACAATGAAGATGGTAAGAGATTATTGGAATATGTCAGAGGAAAAAAAGGTTATTTTCTTCTTTTCGAGAGAAAAGGAAAAAGCTTTGTATACAAAAAATTCTTTTTATTCTTTATGTATTTATGTCGACATGTCAAGGAATATTAAAGGTGTTTGAATTTTCTTTATTTTTCCCTGTCTTTTCCTGACGTAGTTGAGGAAAATGAAAATGTTGGCATAAAGTTGCAAGGAGTCGGCCACACTCTATCTATAAAATAAGGAAAATAAAAATATACAATTGTAAAAATACAAATAAATCGTAAAAATATTTAATTTCATATAATTAATTATGTTAATTAAGAAATATTGACCCATTTCAGTATTTTTACACTTTAGTAAAATTACGAACTACTCATTCCTGGTGTAATAACGAAACTTAGCAACTCATCCTTGCAAAACATTGTATAATTGCCCTAATGAAACAGTAACAACTCATCCCTGACGATTATACAGGAAGATCAGAAAACCACGGCACCAATTTTAGTGAATTATTAGAATTAAACTCATTGTCTAGTACTGGCTATTTGTATATATACAAGAGGCCATTGAAACAAAAGAAGAAGAAGAAGAAACTCATTGTCGATTATTATGCGACTTTATAAGTTGCTCGCACTCTTGCAGACTGAAAAAACTTCTAGAAATTTTCGTGAATTATCCGTCAAATTATAAAAATGATAAAAATCAAGCAAATTAACAGGCGTTAAGGGGTTATGACACTCTAGGATTTTCAAAAAATCGATTTTTTCTTTTTTGCTTTAAATGGTCCCTTGGAGTCTCAAATGTAACATATTGAAAGATTATAGACGTGAGAAATTCCTAAATAACTTATTTTCAAAGTTTAGTGCAGGGCTTTACAGCGCGCTTGAAGGGTACTTGAAGGGTCTACGCAGGTATACAGCAGATAATATTATCTATCTATTATTATTATTATTATTATTATTATTATTATTTATTATTATTATTATTATTTTTTTATTATTTATTATTTATTATTATTATTTATTATTATCTATTATTATTATTATTATTATTATTATTATTTTATATTATCTATCTATTATCTATTATATTATCTATTATATTATTATCTATTATTATTATTATCATATTATCTCTTATATATGGTGCAGACATTGCAGATTAAAGGTATTTAATAATTATATGTATCCTTTTTTACAATTTAGAACTTTAATCGCGATTATCTCAAAACTACATTTTTCGAACTGGCCGCACCAATAATTTTTACAATTTTTAACCGATTAAGTTCAAATTTTGCATACATCTTTAATAATATATTGTCTGAAGGAAAGCGTAGGATTTTTTTTATTGCATAGCATAGATCATTTGTTATTAACATATTACTGACCAATTTGTTGGCAAATTTTCATAACTAAACTTTAGAAGTACGCCAATCGGCCAAAAAGCAATATATCCAACAAATCCTACGCTTTCCTTTAGCTACTGTAATAAGGAATAAGAAACAATTTTGATAATATTAAGAAGAAAGAAGCTATCAATTATCCGAATCAAATTTTTACTAAATAAATTAAATATCTTAAATAAATCTATAAGCTCTTAGATTTCATATGTATCGACATATATTTTTCAGATTAAGCAGGTTTCTGTATTCGGGCAGCTGTGCTGTCGATACATATGAAATCTAAGAGCTTATAGAGATTTATTTAAGATATTTAATTTATTTAGTAAAAATTTGATTCGGATAATTGATAGCTTCTTTCTTCTTAATATTTAACTGCCGAATGATAAATTCACTTTCTATAATTTTGATAATAATTATGATATTTCAAAATTTACAGGAACGGATTGTGCGGCCGGCCGCAGACCCTTCACGCCAAAAACCAGATTAGAAAAATCAGCGTCAGCGCCACAAATTTCAATAAAATTTTATAATATTTATATTTTTTACACTTTAATAAATGTACAATAAATTCCTCAGATCATAATTGTGTCATAACCCCTTAACTATTTATACAAAAAACTACATTGATATTAAACACATTTATAAAGAATAATTAAGTGTATTATGAAAAATAAAAACTCACAGAAATCATCCGTACAATGAAGGACCCCAGTAGCACGTAATATTACAGCATTATTGAGAACACACCAATATTGCCTCAATGTTGTCAATATTACTGGAACATTGCGTGCTACTGGGGGATAATAAAATTTACCTGAATAAAAGTGAACGTAAGGAATTTCGACGATAATTTTTAAATGTACACGTAAATCGTAAAATACTGGACTGTTTGCGTTTAACAAATATTCCAATACAGTAATTTCCGGTAAAAATTCAGGCACTTTTTTCTCGATATTTTGCAAAATTTCATGAATTGATTGATCCTTGAATTTAAGTATTAAAAATTTTTTTTTTTATTAAAATATATCACATAATAGCCATAATTTATATGATTTATAGGTAGAGATAAAATTTTATTACTGTTTTTAATTTAGTGTCCATTAAAAATTCACAAAGCTTATAAATTTTAATCATCATATTTTCAACGTGCCTTTCAATTTCCGAGAGTTCAGTGTTTTCTAATTTTTCCAGAAGAATTGGAGGCTTTGTTATTATTGAATACCATTTTGTCAAATAGGGCTGAAAAGGTTAATTTTTCTTCACTTTATCAAAAAAAAATATTTCTTTTAAAGAATATTTTACTCAGTAATTAATTATTAATTAACTATAATAATCTTCGTATTCTTTCATTCATTCTGACCTGTTCTGACCGCAGTTTGAAGTTAGTTTTTGTGTATGCTTTTGTTTTTTATTTTTTAAAAAGATATTGTTTGACAAATCGAAAATACGCAGGTATTTTTTCATGATTTATAAGAAAACAATATTAGAAATTAGAAAATTTTTAAAAAAATTATGATTAACAAATAAAAAATATACCCATTTTGTTTATTATATGCTTTTTTCTATAACAAACAAAAAACATTACATACATATTTCCATTTCCTATTATTTTTGTAGAAAATTCTCAATTTTCATAAGTAAATAATTTGCATCATTTCTATTTCTTAATTACAATTGTTTTAATAAAATTCAGAGTTTTTTAAACATAAAGGAAAAAAATTTTTATAAATTCTATTTGTCAATTATAAATTTTAATTGAAAATTTTCGAATTTTTAGAAAATAAATGAAAAATTTTACTCAAAAAAATGTTCTGTTATATTTATTTACGAATTTCTTTAATTGCAAAATTATTCGAAAACGTCAATAATTTTCTTTTAAATAAATATTTAATTATTATTTTTTCATAGGAATTAAGATTTTCAAAAATTTTTAATTCAAACCTTTTTGAAATTCAACATCTTATAATCTTAAATTATAATGATCGAGTGATGAAATAATTATATTATATTTATAAGAATATTGTTATTATTGCATTCTTCAAAATTATTTTCATATTCAATTATTATCTAAAATTTAAACTAAAATTCATTTTTAAAATAATTTTTATTAAAAAATTCAACGAGAAATATTTAAATACAAAAGTAAATTTTTCAATTAATAATTGAATGTTTCTTAAAATTTAATGCTTATTTAATTCTTATAAAGAATGTTATTAACAAATTTTTAAATAATTGAATTCTTTTGAGGAATTTTAATAAAATTTTTAAGAATAGGTTACTATTTTCAAGGAATTCGATTAAAATTGTATTAAAAATAATTGAAAATCTGCGATGAGTTTTATTATTTATGAAAATAATTAAATCATTGCGTACAATTTTATTACAATTTCTTTTAAATAATTGAATTCTTTTGGGTAATTTTATTAAAATAGTAGATATTGAAAATCATTAAAGTGAAGAAAATTTTTTAAAATAATTGAATTTCTAAGAATTTTATTATTCATAAAGATACTTTGGATTTTGACATGATTTTTTTTGAGTAATTGAATTCATTTTGTAAATTTTATTAAAATACTAGATAATATATTGAAAATCATTGAAATGAGAAAAAATTTGTAAAAATAATTGAAATTTTGACAAGAATTTTATTGAGATTTTTTTTAAATAATTGAATTTTGAAGAAGAATTTTGTTATTTATAAAGATAATTGGGATTTTGACGAGAATTTTTTTAAATTTTGAACATAATTGAATTTTTATGAAGAATTTTATTACTTTTGAAAATAATTGAATTTCTGCAATAATTTTTTAACTTCTTCAAAATTCAATTTTTTTAGTGTTTATAAACACAAAATTCTTCTATAAATCCAATATTTTTAATAATTAATTAAATATATATTGACTTTAACTAATTTCAGAAGATTTTGAATTATTAAAATTTTTCAAAAATCTAAGTTCATTAAAATTTCTAATTAAATTCATTCAACATTGAAATTTAAAAAAAATTAAAATTGAAACCATTTGAAGTTTATTTATTTATGAAAATTGTAAACGCAATTATTTTAAAATTGAATTTTAAATATTTAATTAAAATTATTCATTAAATAATTTCTAAGTAATAATTTTATGATATTTTTCAAGACTTAAGTTATTTAAAGAGAAATTATTGTTAGAAATAGAAAAAATGGAAGGTTTTCTATTAGAATTCGTGATAATTTCATATAGTTTAAGGGGCAAACTAAAATGGCACCAAAATTCAGAAGTTTCTTATGAATTCTAAAAATTTTAATTTTTCCAGTACTTTTCATAAAAATCTCTGACTTTTCCCTGAATTCCCTGTGTCAGAATATATGATTATTATAGTTATAATAATATTAAAAGGTATTTTCCAATTCATATTTTATTTGTATGAAAAAAAATTTAAACTAAAACTGTTTACATTCTATTATTTTTAAAATTGCTAATTTTATTTTTAAAAAATCGAGTAAAAAGTTAGTCGCGCGCGAATTGTTGCTAGTTCATAATTTTAAAAAATAGTTTTCAAATAATTAAATACTTGAAAAATTGAAATTTAAAAAATGGGAAATAATGTAAGTTTTAAAATTGTTTTAAATAATTTAAACTTTTTAATTTAATTGTAAAATTAATTTTCTTCAAATTCAAAATTTTTTAATTTTCTTCAAATTTTCTTCAAATTTTACAGAACTCTTTAAATATTTACCCGATAAACATGATGCTGAACTGGTAAGTGAAGAACTTTTCCTAATTTTATTTCTTCCGTATCAAAAAATATCGCCTTTAAATGTCTGAAAATCATTTCTTCCGGTGCCTAATGAGAAAGAAATATTTAAAAATTCCTAATAAGTTTAGAAAGGAAAGGGAAAAAATAAATTGATCCTTAAAAGTATTTTTTAATACTACGAACTAATTATTTTTACTACAATATTAATATTTATTTAATAAAACTTACCGTCACAAGATGAATGAAATATTTCTGATAAATGAGCATTAATCCAAAAATGGGAATATCACTGAATTTCGAATTCAGTTCATTCATTATTTTTACTATTTGCTATTTAAAATTAGAATTTGATTAATACGAGAAGATTTAAAAAAAAATTAAAAATGTTACGCCTATAATAAAATAAATTCAATGCCTCTTGAAAATTTTCAGCTGTATTGTAATATTCTCCAAAATATATAAATCTTGTACAAAAAATAAGCTGGAAAAAATTATTTGGATTTAAAACTTAAAGATTTTAATTATCTTAGGTAAAACAATAATAAATTTATAACAATATTAATAATTAAAAATTAATTATTAGTCTTACCCGATCAGCCGCACGTAAATTACGTTTAACAATATCAAAATAAGATTTTCTGACTGGTTCATTCATTTTTGAAACACACTTTTCAAATCCAAAATTTGAAATTTAATTCTTTTAAATAATTAGTAATTAATTTTGAAATAAAAACAAGTTTAGTATCTAGAAAATTAAATTTAAATTCGAATCTTTATGTAAAAGTATTTAAAATAAATATTTCAACAACTATTTTTACAACTTTATAAAAAAACTTTTTATCAATATGATTTTTATTTTAGTTTTTTATTCATTTGTTCAAATTTTTTCTTTGATAACCTAATTTAATTAAATTGAAATTGTCATTGAAATAAAACAAAAGTTGAACGAGTGGAATTTAACTTAATTTAATTTTTTTTAAGTTTATTTCTCTTTTCAAAATTCAGAATTTTTGGAATTTTTTAAAAAAAATTAACATCAGTTTTTAAAAAAAAATTTTTATTAAAAAAACAATTTGTTTTCAAATCCGTTTTCAAAAATTAAGTACAATACTTTGGATTATTTGGAAAAAATAATACTGATAAAGAAAATATCTAAAAGCACGTCACATTAAATATTTCGATGAATTTTTCTCTAAATACAAGAGCCATCTATTTTTAATGACTTTTCATTCCGGAAAATAATAAAATAATGAATAAAAAATCATTATTTTTTAACAAAAGTTGTGAATTAAAAAGTTTTATTTATTTATAAATAAATATTTTATTTATAAATAAGTATTTTTTCATTTATAAATAAATATTTCTTGAATAAATAAATATTCTTAAAAGGAAATAATTATTATTTACATACTAATTAGCATAATGAGATCATTTAAATGAACAATTTTTATAATATTGCAAAACTATTTTTTGGATTTTGAATGATCTAAAATAGGAGGAGGTGGCGGTGTAGTTTCACTTGGATTTCCCATCCAAACAGATTTACTGAATCGTCCTTTAATAACCGGAGTTTGCCATTTACTCGTCGATGAAATGTTGATCGACGGTCTTTCTGCCGTGACAGTCGCGACACTCACACTTCTGAAACTGATAAATTGCCCTTAAAATTTACTCGAAACCCGGGGAAAAAATGATTTGCTCCATAATAAAAACCAATATTTTACCCTTATAGATAAAAAACAAAAATTTTCTCTATTTTTTAGTAGAAGAAATCAAATTTGATCTAAATTCTGAATCAAAAATTAAATAATACGACCCTAAGTTTATAGTTTTACAATTCTACAAATTAAATAAAATTCACTAAAAGCGAAAAGAATTTCAATTCAACGCTTGAATTGAAAAATTATATATATATGTATAAATTCTACTTGTTAAAGAGAAACAAATTAAGGGAAAAAGAAAATTCAACAGGAGAAAAATGAAATCCAACTTTTTACTAACTTTCCATTTATTCAAAAACAAAAAAATTATACAACCCTTTCACTCTATTCACTTAAATCACTAAACCAAAAGAATTACAAAATAAACAGATTTTAATAAATGCAAAACGAAAGCAAAATCGAAATTACAATGTGTGAAACGTTTACAAAAAGAGAAAATAAATACTAAAGACGAAAAACGGAAAAAACGACAAAATTAGAAAACAGAATCCAAAATTAACGGAAATTTGAAAACGAAAAAATTACAAAACATTTAAGTCGAACAAAAAGAATAATTTCTCCCGGAAGGAAAATATAAACGCAAAACAAAAAAAAAATTGGTGCGAATGTACAAATTACTCTCAGAGTATTTAAAAAGAACTGAGAGAGAATCTTTACAAAATTTTAGAAGAAGGTAATTTTCATCGCGATGAAACCCGAAAAATTAAATACTCTGAGGGGAAAAAAAATGACAAAAAAAAACAAAATTTAATTTTCAGTTTTTTGCCATGTCAGTGCCAGGGTACTTGATTTGGATGACTGATAGAACCCAATTTATAGTACCTGGTGGTTGAAAGTGGCGTTTGATTGCCGCTCACATTGTGAGCAGAATTCTGTGCGTTTGCGCTTGTTGGCGTCTCAGCGCTTTGCGCCGCCGAACCATCGCCTTTCAATACAGCAACGCATTTCCAATTGTTAATGTAATTATCCTTCCAGAGACGAACACAGCCATCGTCACCGGAACTCGCGAGAATTGTGCCCATTATATTCCAACAAACACGCCAAACAGTACAATAATGATCATCAAATTGCGCCGTTGTAGTTATCTCAAATCGTGACAATCCACTTTGCGCCGAATCTCTAGAATTTGCAAAATCATAAAATACACAATCCCCCAAAATTAATTAGAATTTAAAATTAAAATTTTTAATTATAATAAATAATAATAATTATATAAAATAATAATTTCCGAAGTAAATAAATAAACAAACAATTTGTAAAAGAAATACTAACGGCATTGGTTTTAAAGTGATGATCCGAACGTCCTTAGTCGCTATTGCAAGTGTATGAAAACTTCGGCCCAAATTCGGTGCAAAGGCAATATCGTGAACGGGGTCGACAATATTCGTGAGTGTCTCAGTTTTTGTCCACCGTCTTCCATTTTCCGAGTATTCGTAAATAAATACTTTTCCGCCGTTCGAAGTATTTGTATCATCGCTACCAACCGCAATCATTGGGGGATGTAACCTTTTAAAAAGAAATTTTAATTTCATTTAAAAGCGTTTAGGAACTCATTTTTTAAATCCTGCCGTTAAATATTTTAATTTAAAATTTAACTTTTAAATTTACTCCCCATATTTATATTCGTCGTAAACTACCTTTTGCAAAATTATTATTTATAATAAATATTAATAAATATCAACGTGAAAAAATTCAAAATACCATCATATTTTTTAGCATTAAATGTAATTCATTTCGATTTTTATAGTGCGAAAAATAACTATAAACAAATCTTTCAGAAATTATTTTTGAATCACTTTTCTATTTAAATTTTTAAAAGATGCAATTAAAAAGATTTTGAATAATTTAAATTTTGTAAAATTTAATTGAAAATAATTAATTTTTTTCAAGTATTTTGTTAGAATTTTTGAAAATCAACTTTTGAAGAATTTTAATTGCAAATTTTCAAAATAATTGAATTATTAAAAATTTTAATGAAACATCTTTAAACGTAAAGTTTAAAATGAAAATGAATGAAAATTAGCTTCTAATTATTTAAAATTTAGTATTTTCAGTACTTTCAATTACATATTTCCGAAAATTCAAATACATATAAAAAATTAATAACATTTTAGAATTATTTTTAACATTTTGGAGAAAAAAATTATATTCAAAATATTTCATTAAAATTCATCAAAAAATTAATTAGTTTCTTTTAAATAATGCAAAACTCTTAAGAAATTCAATTGTTTTTGAAAAATTACATAAAAATATTTGTAAAAACTACTTAATTCTTAGAATTTTTTTATCATCATCATAAGATTTAATTGTCTTTGAATAAAGCAAATAAAAATTTACTTTTTTAGACTTCTTAAAATTTCGGACAAATCATGGTCATATTTTTAATTAAAATTCTTCAAAAAATTGATTATTTTTGTTTTTTGAAAATATTATACCTTAATAGAAAAAAAACATGGACAGTTACAATTATTATAAAATATTAAATTTTTGTATTAAAATAATTTAATTCATGAAGAACTTTCGGAAAATTATTTAAAATAATTGTTTAGAGATGAAGTTTTGTTGAAAACTATAGAAAATAATTGAAACTTGTAACCACCCTGCATCTGCAGTTTTCTACTGTTATTTTTAAATAAAAAAATTCAATAAAAAATAGTAATAAATATATATATATATCAATGTGAAAAAACTCAAAATACTTTCTGTCGTTTTTCTATATTATTTATAATATTGAATAATAATAAATATCAACGTGAAAAAATTCATTCTGCTTTCTGCAGTTTTCTATTATTATTTAAAATAATAAGTAATAAATGTCAACGTGAAAAAATTCAAACAAGCGCGGGTAATGCTCTAAGCACTCCTTGTTTTAATTTTGCTTTCTGCAATCGTGTCCCTTATTATTTATAATAATAAGTACAGATGTATAAATTGATAAATGTCAACGTGAAGAAATTCAAGCAAGCGCTGGTAAACCTGTAAATCTCTAAAAATTATATTAGTTAAAATTTAAAAATGAAGGAAAACAAGGAAAAAGTTGCAAAGAAAATTACTTTAAAAGTGCATAAGAAACTAAGGGAAAATATTAAAGATTTTAAAATAAAGAAAAATTATACCTAGACAGAGAGGGATTCCAGGAAATGCAACTGCAGGGTAATTTACAGCTAATGTCATGTTGCAGTGTCCATTGACTTAAATTCATCACATCGGGCGCTTCGTATATTCGAATAACACCATCTGCACTGCAAGTAGCAAGCAAAAGCCCCAGTGTCTTTGGTGCGAATTTCACGTCAGTCACTGACGTCCTTGAATCGACGAGATTCGTCCTTCGGACCCAATGTCGCATTCCTCGTTCACCAGGTCCCGAACCCTCGCCGACTAAACACGAAAGAATTCAAAAAAAATTTTATTGTCTCTTGTTTAAAGTTATTTCTTATATATTTCTCTCGAAAGAAAGAAAGAAGGAAAGAAAGTAAGAAAGAAAATTATACATCTTAATACCAATTTCTTCCCAAACTGCGGCCGTTCTATCGAAAGAACATGTTGCAAGTACTTGACCAAATTCAGGATGTGCCCATGTGACTTTCCACACTGAACCACTGTGGGCCTTCCACGACGCTGTCAAATGCCACATATCGTGTTCATCCTCGTCCCATACCTATAATTTTAATAATTGAAGTTAATAAACTATTAAAATAATAAAATATAATAAGATAAATGAAGACATCCAGAAAATGATTCTTTAATGTTACTCCAACGTTTCAAAAATAAAAAGATGTTAGTTCACAATAATAAAATAAAGTAATCGAAGTATTGTATAAAAAACATAAAATAAAATAAACAAATTAACATGAAAGAAAAAACATAATAATAAAATAATCGAAATATTATACAATAATAAATAGACGTAAAATAATAAATTAATGTAAAATAAAATAACCAAATTAAATAAAAATATCTAATCGTAAGATAAAAACAAGAAAATTAATAAATAAAGGAAAAATAACAATGTGCAAAAGATACAATCTTATACACGGAAGAAAAATTTTTCCTGGAACAGCTATAAATTTCATTAAATTAGTGAATTTTTAGTTGTTTCAGTTAAGACTTTCGATAATTTAGAGAAACTTATCACTGTTCCAGGTGAAGCTTTTTTTCGTGTACCAAATTAGTCACAGAGAATAAAATAAAATTTGTCAGAAAATAAAAATTGCCACACCCATAAATTGAAGCCATATAGAATCTGGAGTCAAAAATTTAAAATGAGTTAAAATTAAAATTTAGTATCTGAATGTCGTCGTTTATCTTATTATTAAAACAGGCATCATAGTACCTTTTTTTTTTTTTTTCATTTTTTCCTCAAAAAGGGGATAAAAAATTAATTTGTTCATTTAGTTAAAAATATGAAAAATTCAGATTTTCGAAGATTTAAATTTGAAACTTTTTCAAAATTCAATTACTTCATTCTAAAAATTCACGCTATAATGTTTTTAATAATCAATTATTATGTAAAATTGTAACTGAAATTCTCTTTTAAATCGATTTCTATTAGAAAATACGGAAAATACTACGACTACGAGAATTCAATTATTTAAATACAAAACTAAATAATTTATATTGAAATTCTAATAAAGAATTTTAACAAAAAATTTTTAAATAATTAAATTCTTTCGACGAATTTAAATAAAATTTTTTAAATAATTACATTTTTCGAGGTCATGTATTACATGTTACATGTTTTGTCCTTTTTATAATATAATATTATTTATTTATATTTTATATTTATAATATTTATAATATATAAATATAAAAAATCTGACTAAAGATATTTAGCAAATACCTTTAGGTTTCTCTTCAGGGAACCCAAATAATGAAGTGAAAAAATCGCAAAAAATATACTTAAAAGTTGATATTTTCTTTTACGAAAAAATTTTCAAAAGTAGGGTGGAAAAAAAATTTAAATATGGACACCACACAAATTAACAGAATGTCACATAACTCCGGACATTTATTTAGAGTGATAACACCCTTCTATAATTAAAATTGCAATGCTCTAACTATTTCCGTTCAAAAGATAATGAATTTTAACTGTTTTTACAATTTAACTTTTCGCCCCAGTCTCCCCTATATTAAAAAATTTAACTTATTTTAGAAAATAATTGAAATTTTGAAAATTTTTGCAAAAATTTAAGTTCTTTAAAATTTCTAATGAAATTCATTCAAAATTGAAATTTTATAAAATTTGAATTTAAAATGTTTTGAAGTTCGCAACTATTTTAAAATTCAATTAATTTTGAAATGTTTAAATAAAATTATTCATTAAATAATTTCTAAGTTATAATTTTATGATAGTTCTTCAAGAATTAAGTTATTTAAAAAGAAATGGAAAAAATTGAAGGATTTGTATTAGAATTTTTGATTTCTAGAAAAAACTATTAATAATAATATTTTAATTATTTGAATATTAATTAATTAATTAATTAGAATTAAATTTAAAAAAAAAGTTTTCATAAAAATACTCAAGATTTTTAATGTCATCTTTTTTATTTAAAGGTTTCTTTTGTAAATTAATATGAATCATTTCAGATATCAATCTCTTATTGCAACAGTATTCATTGTCTATAGAATAGATAAAATTTGGTAGTCAAAATCATGCTTAAAAACTGCTCTTATGACAAACAAATTGCATAAATAATCCTTTTTTTAATAATTCTTTTTGATTCACCAACATAACAAGGCAGAAAAATTCATAAAATATTTGTTTAAGCTTGTAAAAGAAAATCAAGAAAGAAAAAACAATCTCATTAAAAAATTAAATTAATTTACTAAAAATTTACTATAAAAAAGAATTTACATACTTTGACAAATTGATCACTGGAACATGTTGCCATGCGTTGTCCATAAAAATCGTAGGCAATATCGTGAATTAAATCTTTATGCTCTGCAGTTATGCTACGAGCTTCAAACATTTTGCTATTTGTGGAAAAACTACACTTTTATTTCTCCTATGCAATTTTTTACGTAAAAATAATTTCTTTCTGACGCGGTCAATGTTTGTTTTCGGCGGTTGCTTTAATTTTTTTAGGTTAGAAATTTTGAACGCGCACTTTTGTGACGCATAATCAAGGATGGGAAGTTAAATGTATTAACTCGCAGGATTGAGAAACCACGAGGGTATTTTTGCGTAAAATCCGTAAAATTGTGTAAATAGGGTAAAAGTACAAGGATTAAATTCCCCCCTCTACTAAATGGCGAAACTCGGTGCGTGTGCCAACCCAACCCTGTGAAACATAACCTTAAAAAGTAAACCAAAGAAAACTTATGTAGACCATGTGACACGGTATGTAAACATTTTTTTCTCCTTTTTTACAATTAAAAATCATTTAAACTAATTAAAATGATAAAATAAATGATTAAATACTAACGAAGAGATTAACAAACTGGTTGATATTTGACAAGATTGTCTGCTAATCAATTCTTTAACTTTTCATTCACTGTCAACGAACATTTTAATTCATAAAATAAATATAAATTAACTATATTTCTCCCTTTTAATACTTTTATTTTCTACTTCGTATTTTCCAAGTCCAATTTCTTGAATGTTGAAATATTCTACTTTTCCTGAAATAAAGAATAGATAAATACTCGTTTGTTTTTCTTACAGTATCAAATTTTATGGAATTTCGCAATTTGTATAATTAAAACAAAGGAGAAAATAAATTTCATTCTTCATGGACAACGAGCAAGAACAATTTACAAGAGTAAGTTTTTTTCATAATTTTTATAAAATAAAAGCAGTTTCTCTTTAAAAATGACTTTTTTTGAACAACAAGTAAATAAGTGAAATTAAAATGCAATTGAGAGTTATGTGGAAATTTAATTGATAATATTATCGAAAGCAAAGATCCTTCAGGAAAGGTCATTTATTGTTGTTTATTTTAGCGAATGTTACGTCGAGCAGGTTTGAAAAAAGAGAACAGTGATGATGTATCCAATTTTAATTCTATGAGGAGAAAATTAAATATTTTGCGAGCCATTGATGTCAATAATTCTTCTAGTGAACAAATTACTGGTGAGTGTTTATTATTTATATCTAAAAAAATATTAATTTCTCTTCAATTTCTTGTATTAAACTGAAAATTTGTCTTAAATTGAAATAAAAATATCTAATTAAAATAAAAATAAATATTTTATTTAATATTAATATAATTATCTTTATTTATTTAAAATTAAAATTATTTATATTTTTTTTCATTAAAACACATTTTTTTGACTGAAATTTACAATCTTTTCGAAAAGAAAATTTATGAATTAAAAAATTACAATTATTTAAATCTTTTTTGCAAATTAATCTTTTAATTTACTTTTTAAATTCCTGATTATTTAATTTTTATTTGAAATTGATTGTAAAATTAATTTTTGAATATTTCTTTTCGCTATTTTTTCTGTTTTCTTGAATTTAAGGGAGATTTTGAAATTTATTTTTAAGTTTTCGTTAAACTTGTATATATATTTTTCAAAAAATTATTAATTTTTTTAAATTTGTTTCTTTCATTTTCAAATAAAAATAAGAAATAAATGTTTTTAATTAAAAATTCATCAAACTTTCTCCCTTACAGATCCAGTAGACGAGAAAGGAAAAGGAAGAAATTTAAAAAAAGAGGGTAAAATAAATTCGAGAAAAAGTCTTCTCAACATCAATAATAATGAATTGAAAAAAAATATTTGTCCCGCATCAACGTCATGGTCAAAAATTCCCTCAAATTACATCGAAACATTAAATACATCTACATTGAATAATAGTCACGAATCGGCGAAAAATCTCACAATTGACGAATTTTATAAAAAAAATCAGTTTCTCGAGCAAAAAGATGAAAATTCCATTAATTCGGAGAAATTTTATAAATTTGATAAAGAAAATTTATCAGATTCGAGTAAAAATAATTCATTATTGAATGAATCGAAAAATATGGAGGCAAACGAATACGAATGGGAGGACACAGTAAAAAAATGTATCAACAACTATTTTGAAAATTTAAACAAAAAATGTAAAAATATCGACTCGAAAATTGAGGGAATCAAAAAAAATGTATCGTCGCCTAAAAATTTCCTCTCACCAAAAAGTAATTTTCTTCATAAAATGATTGCATCGAGTGAAGAATTTCTACCATCGAAAAATGAAACGAAAAATCCCCTCTCGCCATTGTCGACGAAAACGGAATATTTCTCGCCTCGTTCAGAATTTACTTCTTTAAAACAAGAGAAGACGGAATATTTTTCACCGGAAAATTTTCAAAGAAAACTCGATATTTCGGAGAATACTTTCGAGACAAACGAAACGTGTGAAAAACAAAAAAAGGAAAATTCAATTAATGAATTGTCCTTATCGACATTTGTGAAAGGACTCGACACGGAGGATGAGTATTTGGAGAAAACTGATGAAACCTGGAAGGATGCGAGTGATTTTTTCAAAAGTACCGACAACATCGAAGTATCACAAGAATTAGTTAAAGTCACCTGTAAAATTATTGAAGAAGATAATTTAGATATTCCCACGACTGATATTAAATTATCATCACTTCCGGTTGCCGAATCAATATCGAAAAATTTGGAGAAACTACACGAAACTCAATCGGAAAATGAATCCTTGGATTTGTCATTAATAATCGACAATTTAGACGAGGAGATAAAAAATCTCGAAATTCGACCCGAAGCATTAGAAATTGAAAAAATGTCCGACACACCAAAAATATTTTCCCCATTGAAAATTTCTTCGAAATCCCAAACGTGCACACCAAGAAAATTATTCCATCAAAAAAATGACGAATCAAAAGAAATCGAGAATCAAAATTCAATCCAAGAGTGTGAAAAATCGATTCCAAAAACAGAGGAATTGGAAAAAAATATCGAAGATAAAAAACAAGATAAAGAAGAAGAAGAAGTGTTCGAAAAAGAAACAGAGACAAAAAATGAATCAATCGACGAATTAAATGAATCGAAAGAAAAAGTATTCAAATCCCCAACAACAAGAAAATCTTCAAAACCAAAACAAAATTCAAGTTCAACGGGTGAAAATTCAAATAGTTTTCTACGAAGAAATTCGAGTTTCTTTCGATTTAAAACACCAATGCCATGGAGAACAAAACCAAATTTAGAATCAACGAGAAAATCGTCAAATTATGATTTAACAAAAACAAAAATGACAAATTCTCCATCCAATGTTGACAGTATGATATCATCGATAAATCCAAATTCACCGGCAAGTCAAGATGAAAATGAAAGAAAGAGTCAACGCATATCCGATTGTTCGATATCGTTTGAGGTGGAGAAATTTTTAGAGGAAGCTTTAGGCGAAGAACTATATAGTACATCAATGACATATGGATTGGATAAGACAAATTCAAATTTAGATGCCACTGAATTAATGTCGGGCGATAGAACATCACTTCAAAGTTGGATATTAAATTCGTCACGAAGTGAAAATCGACGTTTTTCACGACATTCAACGTTAAATCGAACAATCAGCGCTTACAAATCTTTGTCAAAACGGATTAAAACTGTGAGTTGATCATTTTTTTATTTTTTAATTTTTTAACAATATTTTTTTCAATATTTATATTTAGGGGGATTTTTATTTGTTAATATTGAGTTGATAATTTTTGTATTCTTTAATATTTTAACAATATTCTTTTCAAGATTTATATTTAGGGGGATTTTTATTTAAATATTTTTGTTTGTTAATATTGAGTTGATAATTTTTTTATTCTTTAATATTTTAACATTTTTTTGAGTATTTATATTTGAGGGGATTTTTTTATTTAAATATTTTTATTTGTTTAGAATTTATATTGAGAATTTGTACTAAAAAATGTATATTAACAGGGTGGCCACATGTCAATAAAGTCAGTAAAGTCAGGGAAATGTCAGGAAAAAAAAATTTTTTGTTAGGGAAATTTAGAAAATTGAGATTTTTTTCGACTTATTTTCAAAAATTGCGACTTTTTCGACTTTTCATCCAAATATTGCATTATTAAAATATATTTTTTAGTATTAAATGTAATTCATTTCAATGATTATAGTGTAAAAAATAACTATAAACAAATCTTTAAAAAATTATTTTTGAATCATTTTTCTATTTAAATTTTCGAAATATATACAATTAAAGGTTTTGAATAATTAAAATTTTGTAAAATTTAATTGAAAATAATTAATTTTTTTCAAATATTTTGTTAGAATTTTTGACAATCAACTTTTGAAGAATTTTAATTACAAATTTTCAAAATAATTGACTTATCAAAAATTTTAATTAAAAATCTTTAAACGTAAATTTTAAAATGAAAATTAATGAAAATTAGCTTTTAATTTTTTTAAATTTAGTATTTTCAGAACTTTTAATTACATATTTTCGAAAATTCAAATACATACAAAGAATAATAACATTTTAGTATTATTTTTAACATTTTGGAGAAAAAAATCAGGTAAATTAGGTAAAAATATTTCATTAAAATTAATCAAAAAATTAATTAATTTTTTTTTAAATAATACAAAAACTCTTTTAAGAAATTGAATTGTTTTCGAAAAATTACATAAAAATATTTTTAAAAACTATTTAATTCTTATAATTTTTTATCATAATTTTTTAAGATTTAATTATCTTCAAATAAAGCAAATAAAAATTTCCTTTTTTGGACTTATTTACTCAGAAATCATGGTCATATTTACAATTAAAATTCTTCAAAAATTTGATTATTTTTATTTCTAGAAAATTATATACCTTCATAGACTGAAGTAAAAAGTATGGACAGTTATAATTATTATAAAAAATAGAATTTTCGATTTTAAATAATTTAATTCTTGAAGAGCTTTCGGAAAATTATTTAAAATAATTGATATAGAGATGAAGTTTGGTTCAAAATTATAGAAAATAATTGAATTCAGGAAGGGTTATAGTTGTAATTTTTAGAAATTATTCATAAATTTTACTCATTTTCCGTAAACTTTCATATTTTTCTGTAAAAAAAAATTTGCCAGAGAAAATAATTTTAATATCAGTAAATTGTCAGAGAAATTGATAAACTGAAACTTGTGACCACCCTGATTAACAATTTATATTCAGCATTTTTGTTTTGGCAAATTATAATATATAGAACAAGAAGTTTGGACGTAATTAGCCTTTTTTCCAAAAAATGCACTTTTCATTATAATTATTAACAATTTGGGTGTAATTAAGTTTCGAGACCATTTTCTTTTCTCAAAGAAAAATTATTTTAAAATTCAGTGATAAATGCTAAACAGTTTCTTATTACTGCGATTTTTCGGATATGATCCCTTTTTTCAAGAAAGTGGAATTTTTATTAAAAAAGTGACATTTTTTATTCAAATCAACAATTAATTAAGTTTCGAGACCATTTTCATTTCTCAAGGAAAAATTATTTTATAATTTAGTAATTAATACTGAATAGTTTCTTACTAATTCGGCTTTTTGGAAATGGACCCTTTTTTCCAAAAAAGTGCCATTTTCTCAATTAATTAATTGTTTGGATTAAATTAATTATCGAGGCCATTTTTTTCAAGGAAAAATTATTTTATAAATCAGAGGTGAATATTAAACAGTTATCCATTCCTCTGTATTTTCGGGAATAAACAAGTTTTCCAAAAAGTGCCATTTTCTCACTTAATTAATTATTTGGATTTAATTAGGGTTCAGACCATTTTCTTTTCTCAAGGAAAAATCATTTTATCATTCACTGATGAATACTAAGCAGTTCCTTACTAATCCGGCTTGTCGGTAATGTACCCTTTTTTCCGAAGAAGTGTACATTTTATCAAAAAAGTGCCATTTTTTAAACTTAACTCTTTACTTGGATGAAATTAATTATCGAGACTATTTTCTTTTCTGAAGGAAAAATTATTTTTAATTCAGAAATAAATATTAAACAGTTTTCCATTACGCTGTCTTTTTGGGAAAAAATCCTTTTTTTAAAAAAGTGCTATTTTCTAACTTATTTAATTATTTGGATGATATTAATTACCAAGACCATTTTCTTTTCTTAGGTGAAAATTAATTAATTTATCTCTAAGATATAAAAAAAGATTATACAATTTTGTTAAGCACCATTTCTTTTCTTTTTTTTTAAGTACCTTTTTTCAAATGTGAAATATTATTTATCTTATCAAAAAATTCTTTTACCATATTGCTTTCCTTATTTTGAATTTTGCAATTTGTTGTGTTTTGTAATTCGTAAAATACATAAAAAAATCTGTTTTTAACTTTTACTAACATTTCTGAATATTTTTTTACAAATTTATATTTTTAAATTTCTTGCAAAGCTCTAAGTTAATTTCTATGTCTGTATTTTAAAAATACTTAAAAACATCTGTTTTTAATTTTTACTAACATGTTTACTTACATTTTTGAATATTTTCTTTTACAAATTTATGTTTTTAAATTTCTCGTAGAGTTCTAATGTAATTTCTATGTCTGTATTTTAAAAATTCAATATGGCAGGTCCAATATGATGAACATCAGTTTTTAAAAATTCCATAAAACTTACTAAGTATTTAGAGAAACATTATGAAAATTAATAAAATTTTCCTAGAATTTTTGAATTTTACGCCGAAAACGATTAAAATAGAAATAAAAGTGACATATCTCAACTGAGAACGGATATTTACTAATTTTCAGAAATTTCGTCCTAGTCTAAAGGAAACAATGAAACAAGTATGGAATCCAATTTTACCACCAAACAGTGAACTAAATGAAAAATTACAACCACTAATCCAAGAGGTAAACATTCAACAAACACGAATTTATCAAGCGAGTAAAGCACTAGATTATTGTCGTTCTATAAAAATGTTCCAATCATCACCAGAACAAGTTGAATCAGAACGTCTTCTACTCATAGCCCAACTAAAAAAACAAGCTCTCTTTAATGAAATAAAAGCCATCACTTCGGGTACAAAATCAGAGACAACATTCACTCAACAGGCAAACATAATTGTCGATAATTTTTCCCTGACATTGAAGGATTCATTTTTACAATTAGAAAGACCAAAAGATATTGTCGAATGGTTTGTTATTGTTATTACCCATGGTTTAACAGTATGGTCAACGCAAGCAGTCACCTGTCCCACTGATGGTACAACAAAAATTCCATTTACCGGCTCAATAACAATTCCAAATTTAAATCCTGATTTTAAAATTTTAGTACGTGTATTCAGTACAAAATTTCATAATATTTGGAATGTCGATAAGTTTTATACAAAAGATATGGATCGTGACACGACATGTCCATCGCCAACGAAATTATTGAAAAGATCAGAGAGACCAGTTTCATTGAGAAGTCATGAGATTAAATTCTCTGGTATTAGAGAAACAAGTTTTACTCTACAGGGTTATGTTGAACTTCAAGTTCACGATCTCTCTCTATACCCACCGTGGCCATTAATGTCTGTAAGTAAGATTTTTTTATATAAATGAAATTCTTTTCTTTGAAAAAAATTTACCGACCGCTGGTAATGTACTTTTCTTCTATACCGACCAGTGATATGTTAGATTTTTACATTTCCAACAGTCGGTAATGTAGGTTTTTTATCTCTTGGCGTATTTTCTAGGTACCGAGAAATTCCGTGTTACATAATTCAATAGATTTGCAAGTGACTAGTAAATTGGAGGTAGATGTCCATCATGCCGGTTTTTTGAATTACGGCGATGAAATGGGAGGATATGCAGCTTGGAATCGAAGATGGTGTGTTTTGGAGAAACATATGCTTATGTTTTGGAATTATCCCCGAGAACAAGAGGTTAAACCGCCACTTTTAACAATTAACTTGATGGAATCATTAAGCGATCATGTGACAACAATTAGTCGTACACTTTGTGCAAGACCAAGAACATTTGTCATTGAAATATCGAGGCAGAGAAACAAGGATGATAGAAATAGTGGTGTCATGGAATGTCGTGCTAGCTGCACAATTATCAAGTAAGTAATTTTGGAATTTTTAACCTTTTTAGTAGAATTTATGAAAATTTACCAACTGTTAACAACGTAAATTTCACCTTAACCAACAATCGATACAGAAGATTCCACTCTTAACACTAGTCGATAAGGCAGAGTTAATTTTTTTATCATTCTTTGAAAAGTAGTTAATAAATTATAATTAATTTACTTTAGTAATTTTTAATCTTCTGCCTACGCTGACAATCGGTACAGTAGATTTCGATTTCTCCAGTGGTCGATACGGTAGAGTAAATTTCTTACTCCTCGAAAAATAGTTCATCATTTAAAATTTTTTATTATCATACTTTTTAAAGAATTTACTAACAATTTACCGACTGTTGGCAATGTAAATTTTACTTTTACCAACAATCGATACAGTTGGTCGATTTCACTCTTTCCAGTAGTAGATAAGGCAGAGTTAATTTTCTATTCCTTGAAATGTAGTTCATAAATTATAATTAATTTACTTTCGTAGTTTTTAAGCTTCTGTCGATTGTTGGACACGTAACAATTACTTTTACCGACAATCGGTACAGTAGATTTCGATCTTTCCATTAGTCGATAAAATAGATTTTCTTATTTACCCTGAGAACCTAATTATTAAACTTCTTTTTCAGACATCTTTTGCAATGTGATTCTCTTCATGATTTAATGGAATGGAAGACAAAATTAAATCATATACTTACAGTTTTTCAAGAATGGAACGTAAAGGGTCATTTATATCCCATGGCGTCTGCTTTATACAAGTAGAGATTTATGAATAATTTTAAACTAATTTATTTTTTTTTACCAATGAAAAAAAACACAACTTTTTTAATATAATATTTCTTAATTATTTTTTAAGAAAAACAATGAATGAAAAGAAGAATGAATAATTGTTTCTTGGAATGAGAGTAAATCTTTGATATTTCTCCATGCCATGAAGAAGTGACTCGATTTTAAAAGAACTGAGAATTTAATCAGTTTGTCAGAATTAAAATAAAAAGAATTGAAATTTGGAAACAATTTGGTAAGTTTATTATTTATTTGAAAAAAATAAATTTATTTCTTTATTCGGTTCTATTAGGGTGAATTTTCTATTACATTATAAATGTTTACAATCGACCATAAAAAATTTCTATTTTACCGACAGTTGGTACAGTAGGGATTTACCGCTTTAACAGTCGGTAATGTAGAAATTAGCAATTTTATTTTTTAAAAAAATACATTTCTCTCACATATAAATTGCAATTTTTATCAAATATTGTAAATAAATATGAAATTAAAGTTACAATATCAAAAGAAAAGTTCCACTTGGAAAATAATCACTTATTTCTTTCTCGTTTCTATAAAAAATAGAATTGAGAATAGAGTGAAATATAATTATAAAATAGTGTAAATTAAAAATAAAAGTTGGATAAAGTTTCTTGATTTAGTTTTAAATTTTGTAAAAGTAGTTTCGGATAAATTTTTTTTTTACTTTCCCTTAATTTTTTTTCACTTTTTCAATGATTTTCCAATTACGCTATTTCGTTCGGATTCAATTTTGGAATCTGTCTCCGGATGAATTGGATTCTATAGGAATTAAAAAAGGTTGAAAAATAAATTACTGGAATTATTTAAGAATTTTAATTTGAAAATTTAAATCTAATGAAGTATAAAGTTTACACTTTATATTACAAAAGTTTAATTAAAATTAAAGTAAATTGAAGTAAGTTGAATTAAGATACATAAAATGGAAATTAAATTAGATGATAATTTAATTTCCAATTACAATTTAATTATTATAATTTAATGAAAAATGAGATTATGAAAAGAAACGTGAAACAGAAGGTAGTGAACTTCTTTATCGACTTTATCGACGCTAAAAATATCGATAATAGAGAAATTTTGCTAAATTGACAAATTTCCCAAGAACAAGAAACTTGAGGGGGAAAATAATGTATAGTAAGGTAATTTTTTTTTAAATTCGTTATTACTTGTGGTCGAATTGGTGGCGCTGAATGTACAAGTCTTCCTGTCATTAAATTATTTTTATCCTTTCTGACGCGAACCCAATCGTGTCCCAAGACACGATCCAATGTCAATCTTAGCGTCATATCGGGCTCGAGAATGTGTCTAACGATACTTTTCGCCTGCGATGTTATAATATCACGTACACGTGAACGAAATATCCAATTTCTTGACATTTGATCCTTTAGAAGCTTGCGTAAATTTGAATCGTCAAATGGCATTGAGCCATTTAGCATTATATAGAGTATTATGCCAAGTGACCAAACGTCGGCTAATTTTGGATTGTATGGTGTGCCGGACACCACTTCCGGTGCGGCGTACGCCGCTGATCCACAGTATGTTTGACTTAATACACGACGACCGTCATCATCAATGCAAAATCTGGATAGAAAAAAATCTTTTTTTTATTAATTTTTATTTTTTCTGATTTTCCAGGCCTTTTTAGATTTTTAGAATTTCCACTACTTTAAATTCGCAAATACTTGAAATAAAAAAACTATTCTCAAACATTATAATCAAATTCTTTAAAACGATTCAATTATTTTCAAAAAATATTCGCAATTCATTTATTTCCAATATTTAGTATTTTCATAAAATTTCGCAAACCAATTCAATTATTTTAAAAAAAAATTGATAAAATTCATCCAAAATTCAATTATTTCCATAAATAATAAAATTCCCACAGAAATTCCATTAAATTAAAATGGCATTTTCAAACAAAATTTCGAAAAATCAATTACTTAACAAAATTTTTTATATAATTCACAATAATTCAATTTATTTCACTAATAATAATATTTTTTCATGGAAATTCAATTTTTTAAAAAAAATTTAAATAAAATTCTAAGCAAGAATTCAATTATTTTTATAAATAATAAAACTCTTCAAAGAATTTGAATTATTTTTAATACTATTTTAAATTAATTAATAGAAAAATTCAATTATTTTCACAAATAAAATTTTCCACGAGAATTCAATTAATTAAAATAAAATTTTCATAATATTTATTATATTTCGAAAAAATTAATCCTTTGAAACAATGTTTATAAAATTCTTATAAAGAATTTAATTACTTTCAAAAATAACAAAATTTTTCACAGAAATTCAATTCTTTTTAATAATTTTAATAAAAAATTTTTCGCAATAATTCAATTATTTTCATAAATAATAAAATTCTTCTCAGGTATTCAATTATTTACAAATATTTTAATAAAATTGTTCGAAAGAATTAAATTATTTTCATAAATAATAAAATTCATCGCAGGATTTAAATTATTTTTAATACAATTTTACAGGAATTGCTAAAAAATGGAACTATTTCTTAAAAATTTAATTTCAATTCCTCGAAAATATCAATTATTTAAAAAAATGTTTTTTTATAATTCTTTGGAAGACTTCAATTATTTACAAGAATATTAGAATTTTTCACAGGAATTCAATTATGTTAAAATATTTTAATAAAATTGTTTGAAAGAATTCAATTATTTTCATAAATAATAAAATGCTTTTTAGGAATTCAATTATTTTCAAAAAAAAGTTTAATAAATCAAACAGACATTTAATTACTGTCAAAAATTTTAATAGATTTCTTTGTAAAATTTAATTATTTTTAAAAACTTTTCGCAATTCAATGATTTTCAATATCTACTATTTTCAAAAAATTTCCAAACAAAATTCAATTTAAAAATTTTTTTGGAAAGATCTTTGTAAGAATTCAATTATTTTCATAAATAATAAAAATTTCTCAGGAATTCAATAATTATTTAAATTAGAATTTGCATAAAATTAGTCAACAGAAATCAATTATTTAGAAAATTTAAATTTTTTAATTTTTATAAATATTTAAATTCTTTTATGAATAATAAAATTCGTTGCAGGTTAATTTAATTTATTAGCAGGATAAGAAAGAAGTAAATATATTTTTGATGGAAATTAGGAAAAAGTTAGGAATTATCGTGTGTAAAGTCTGATATTCTTTTTTTTTAAAATTTTTATTTTAAGGACATTTGAACCATTATGACGTCACAGTTTTCGAACGCAAGCTTTGCCAAAGTCGTGACGTCATAATAGTTTAAATGTCCTTGAAAGAAAAAAAATATAATTTTAATTTATTAATGACGCTGAAATTTATTAAATTTTCAAAAAAAAAAAAAAAAATGAATACCTTGCAAATCCAAAATCTGCTAGTTTAACGTTGAATTTTCGTGACAGTAAAATATTTTCGCATTTTAAATCTCGGTGAGCAATATTTTTGCCGTGAAGGTAGTGTAAACCGGAAGCCATTTGTCGAAACCATAATTTTGCTTGTTGCTCCGGAATAAAGCCCTTTTTTTTAACAAAATCCAAAAGATCTCCGTTATCAGCGTAACGCATAAAAATAAAAACCCTCGGACCACGTTGAAGAATACTATGAACCTTGGTGAGAAATTATTTTATTTATTTATTATTATTATGTATTTATATTAATAAATTAATATTATTAATAATATTAATAGAAAAATTATTTTCGAATTTTATTTTATTTATATTTTTTAACATTCATTTATTTATTTAATTTAAATTATCAAATATTAAATATTATAATTTTGTTTAATTAGTAAATATTTTGTAATTATATAAATTAATTAATATTAATTATAATTATAATATTAATAAGTTTATAAATTTATATTACACTGCACAGAGAAAAGCGAGTGTTGTTTTTGATGCGGGTAAATTTTGGTAGGGTAATTTTAGTGAGGATAAATTTTCTAGAATAGAAAATTTACCTTATTTTCAGTGTTAAAATAACACTTCCGAGCTAAAGTTTGATGCAGACACTTTTAACACCGAATTCAGTGTTAAAATAACACTCACTTTTTTCTGTGTGAAAAAAATTGGATTAAAATTAAATTTTATTTAATTCAAATAAAAATTAGTCGGTTCAAGAAAATATTTATCTGTTATAATAGAAAAGTAAAATCGTTTATTTGAATCAAATAAAATTTGTTTTCTTGTATAGACAGTTTTATGTAATTTATAAATTTAATTTTATAAAGTTAAAAAAAGAATTTGTTATATTTTTCCCCTTATTACCTGAATAATATGAGGATTTTCAATTTTCGTTAAAATTTCGAGTTCGCGGGGAAAGAATTTATCTAAAAAATCGGGTGGCGCTTTTTCTTTGTCAAAAATTTTACATGCAAGTTTCATTTTCTTTGGATTAACTCCATCGGAAAATTCAGCCAAGTGAACAGTTGCATATGAACCCTGTTTGTGTGTAAGAAAAAAATTAACGTAAGTATATCAATATTTTTATTTATTTTTTTTATTAATTTATTAAATATATAGGGTCAGTTGGGGTAAATAGAAACAAGGGGTAAATCGAAACAGTAGTATATACTGTCACTAATTGACAAACGGAAAATGAGAAAATGCTCAGAACCTGTTGGGGGTGATCTATAAGCATCAAGGTTTAAGGCCGTAATTATTAAAAGAAATTTGTTATTTAACTGAAATAACTACTGTTTCGATTTACCCCTTGTTTCTATTTACCTCAACTGACCCTATATTTTTTTAATTAATTAATTTGTTTTTTTATTTAATTTTTTTTGCTTTTGTCGTTCCTTTTTTTTGTTTTTAAAAAATTTTTTTTTAAACCTGTCCAATTTTTTTGCCAAGAAAATAGCCACGTTGCTCAAGAGCATTTACTTCCGAGTTTCGAGGGCTTAAACGTGAGGCCATACCAAAATTTCAGCATTGGAAAATTACTGTCTCCTGATCAAATTTTTTTGTATTTTCGACATTAATGTTCAAAGAAAAAATATTTTTTTGTCAATTATTCGTTTTTAGCCTCTTTTTACTTAAATTTGATTGCTGTTTGAAAATAGAATTTTTTTTATTAATGTTCATAAATAATAATAATAATAATAATTTTAATAATTATATTATAAATGTGGTACAATAATAAGAATACAAAATAATATTAATAATAACTCTAATAAATAATAATGATAAAAATATTCAATAATAACAATAATATTAATTAACAAATAATAATAATTAGAAAAGTATCAATAATAACACTAATAATAAAAATAATAATTATTTTTCTTTTCTTTAATTTAATAATAATAAAAACAATTATCATGAATCAATCATTTAATTGAAATAATTTATTTAATTAATTGAACTTTTTAAATATTTCAAAATTAATTTATCTGGTTTTATAAATTAAAAATTAAAACATTTTTTGTAAGTAGTTAAATAACCTTTAAAAATTAATTTAAAAAATTTTATTTGTTGTAATTAATTAATTAATTTATTTAAATAATAAAAATTAATTAATTTGTTTTAATTGTTTCATTAAACTATTTAATTAAATGAAAATTAATATAATTGTTATAACTAATGAATGAAACTATTTAATTAATAAAACTTAATTTATCTGTTCTAATTATTTAATTAAATAAAAATTAATTTATTTGTTTTAATTAATTACCTAATTAAATTATTTAATTAATGAAAATTAATTTTAATGTTTGATTTGATTAAAATAGTTGTATATTAGTTTAAATAATTTAAAATTAGTTATTTTAAGTAGTTAATTAAATTATTTGATTCTAAAATAAAAATTTACCACTTGTGCACGTAGAAAAATTTGTTCCAAGAATCCATAAAAATCCACATAGTTTCCCATATGGAGATTTTGAAAAAATATTCAACGTTGCATTAAAATCTATTTTTTTGAATGTTAAAATTAAATAATATTTCAAATTTTGTACAATTATATAGGAAAAAAAAAAATTTTTATGAAAATTTATGCATAAAATTCAAATAAATAAAATATATTTTTTATTTTTTTACTATTTATTTACACAGAAAAATATTTAAATTTTTTTAACTAAGAATATTAATAATAGAATTATTTTTGAAATTAATTATTATTTAATGTCTTTTTTATTTATTTTTTTTTATAAAAATGAAAAATAGTACCTTTTAACCTTGTTTAATTGTCATTGATGAAAAAAATAGTTATCTGGAATGAATTTATTTATTTATTATTTTTGTTTTTTTTTTTAATGCAAATTAACTGATCAGGAGAGTAATTTTATAATACTCTTCATTTGTGATTTGAACATTATATTTGAATATATGTCGTCAATACTAGAATTTTGGTCGTTTAAATTATATTTTTAATACGAGACGAATGGGAAAAAAAAGATAAGCCTGTCATTCAATAACTGCCATTGTGAGAAACTAGAAAACAAATGAAATATTTGGATTCAATTTCAAGTCACTTTTTTTCCTTTGTAATTTTTCTTTTACCTTCCTTTGTGTAAAAATGAATAATTTCGAGGCTATTTTTACAGCAAAAGAGTAAAAAAAATAGTAAAAGTTTTATAGAATAGAAAATTTACTTTTTGAATATTTAAATTTTCCCGCTTTAAATACATGCAGATATGCAATGCGTGTTGCCTTCCATCAGGCGTTTGTGGCCTCTATCATTTTTTTTGCATTCTCCATAGGAAAACCTTGAAAATATCCTCTTTTTAACTAATTTAGTAAACAATTGTATTAATTAAAGGCATTTTTACTATAATTATCGATAAAATTTTATTTTTCCCCTTATTTTGATTCTTTTGATTTACAAGTTACCAACACTGACTGTAGGGCGCAATTTGTAGATAATAGTGATCCAACCCTGTTGTGGACGTCACCAACCACTGATTTCCATTTAACAATAGTTAAAACAATGTTTAGAATAGTATTTTTTAAATATATTAATTTAGTGTTTTGTAACTAAACGGTAATTCACGAAACATGCAACAATTTTTAGTGGACGACACGTAAATTAATTTTTTGTGCCTAATATTTTGACAAGCAAGAAATAAAAGTCTGGAGAAACTTTCAATAGAGGTTAGAAGTTGTAATATTTCGTGATGGTGAAAAACTGGAACATAACCTTTGTATTTGATCGTGATTTTTTTTAAATAATATATAAATACGAGACAAATAATCGAAGAAATTTTTACAGATTATAATTTTCCGTTATTGAAAAGATTGGAATTTCGCAATATTAAATGAAATATTGATGACAGTTCTTTGAAAGAGGTTAAGTCAATAGCCGCTATCTTGTATATGAATGACGTTAAAATTTTCCTGTGACGTTTACACATGTGCTTCCCATACGGTACGTAATTTTTTTTCCCGAAAATTATAATTTTCGTATTTTATTTAATAATTGATTCATTATTTTCATGATAATTTGTGATTTTATTTTCAAAAGTGGATAGTTTTTAAATTTCATTTTTGTTTCTGACAAAAAATTGATCGTGTTTTTCTCATTGTTTTTTTTTTCATTGTAAAAAATTTAGTCTGTTTTCTTTTGCAATCAAATTACTTGGTATTCATTTATAGAAATTGAAATAGAATAATTTTTTTTAAAATTGTGTTTTTTCGTTTCCTTGGAAATTTATTTTTTGGTAATATACTTAACTTATAATTTTAGTTATGGAAAATAGAAATATAAGTAAAAAATCGCGACTAAAGGAAATTTGCTACTTTTTTTAAACAACATCGTTTTCTCCGGTTTCTTTTCAAAAAAAATCTTTATTACTTACGTATTTTTAATATTTTTAATAATATTTATTATTAATTATTTTTAACAGCAAAAAATTTTAATATTATTTATTTATTGCAAAACACTAATTACTTTGATATATAAATAAAAATAAATTAAGTTACGAAAACCTTGGTATAATTTTGTAAATATACTAATTTTTTTTATTTTTTATAACTTTTCTCTTTTTTACTAATCTTCGTAATAAAAAATTACTTAAAACTTTCCAATTTTTTTATAAAGGGGAAAAATAAATCACATATTCATTTATAAATAAATAAAAATATTTATTTTCATAATTTAAATTTTAAAAAAGTCATAATTTAAATGTTTTTAAAGATTCAATTCTATTTGTTTAATTTTTAAAATTATTTGTTTATTTAATTGTAAAACTAAAATTTTTCAATTTAACTTTTTAAGTTCAATTTTTTAAGGGAAATACTATCGTTAAAATTAAATTTTTTAGTTTAATATTTGTTAGAAGTTTAATTTTGAATTTAATTATTTGTTTGAAATTAATTTTCAAATCAAATTATTTGTTAAAAACTTAAAATAAATTCAATTATTTGGTTAAAATAGTTTTTAAATTAAACTGTTTTGTTAAAATTAATTTTTTAAATTTTAACAAATAATTGAATTTAATAGGGAAATTTGATGAATAATTGAATTTAATTTAAAAATTTTAACAAATAATTGAATTTAATAGAGAAATTTCATAAATAATTGAATTTAATTTGAAAATTTTAAGAAATAATTGAATTCAATTGAAAAATTTTGATAAATAATTGAATTCAACAAGGAAATTTAGTAAATAATTAAATTTATTTAGTAAATTTTAACAAATGGTTTGATTTAAAAACTAATTTGAATAAAAACTATAATTATTCATTAAATTTTTATTTATTAAATTTAATTATTTTTATTTGTTAAATTCAATTCGATAAATAATTGAATTTAATTTTAAAATTTTAACAAATAATTGAATTCAATTGGGAAATTTTTATGAATAAATAAATTCAACAGGAAAATTTCATAAATAATTAAATTTATTTAATACATATTAACAAATGATATGATTTAAAATTTAATTTAAAAAGAACTACAATTTAAAAATTATTTTAAACAAATAATGTAATTCCATAGGAAAAGTCGATAAATAATTTAATTCAATTAGTAAATTTTCATAAATAATTGAATTTATTTAGTAAATTTTAACAAATTCTTTGATTTAATAATTAAATTTAATTTTTGAAAATTTTAACAAATATTTTACTTAAGAAATTAATTTTAATCACATAATTGAATTCAACAGGAAAAAAAAATTCCCATTGAATTAAATTATTTGTTTAAATCGAATTATTTATTAAAAGTTTTTCTTATTGAATTCAGTTATTTGTTAAATTTTTGTTTATTATTTTCTGATTGAATTCATTTTTTCTCTTTGTAAAATTGAATTTAAAAAATTATTTCATTTTATTTTGTTCACCGACTTTATGGTAAAAAATAAGTTTTTTTGTACATTTTCATCCTTAAACTAAATTGTGTTTTAAATATTTAATTTTAAACATTTACGTTTAAATGTTCAATTGATTTACTGTTAGTAAAATTTTTACTTTTACTATTCTTTTCTTTGTTTACATTAAATAAGAAAATTATGCACTATTTTTAATTTTTACTTTTTCCATTAATTTATTAGTAGAAAGATAATTAAAAAAAATTTAAGAATAATTTTTAAAGAAGTAATTTAATTGTTAAATAATCTATTTCAATTTCCGGAATAAATTTTACAATAATAATTACTTAATCGTTTTTGTTTGTTAAAATGAATTAATAACTAGAAATTAATTATAAAAAGTGTTATTGAATTTTATAAATTCGATAATTTATTTTTATTCAATGAAATGTTTTTATTTTAAAAGAAAACGAATATTTTCTTAACTTTTTATTTCTGTTAATTTGTGTACGAAAAACTTTTTTATAGTTTTTCTTATTAAGTAGTAATGTTAAGGAATTCAGGCCTCGGATATTATAACTTTTTCGACTTTTTTCGACTTATTTAAAAAAATTACGACTTTTTCGACTTTTCTTCCAAATATTGCAATAATTTTTAGTATAAAATGCAACTTATTAATAAATTTTTAATTAAATTTTCGAAATTTACAATTAAAAAAAGTTTCAATAATTGAAATTTTATAAAATTTAATTGAAAATAATTGATTTTTTTTCAAAGTGTTTATAAAAATTTTTTAAAATCAACTTTTGAAGAATTTTAATTGCAAATTTTGAAAATAATTGAAATTGAATTCAATTTTAATTAAATTCCTCGAAAGAATTCAATTTCTAAAAAAAATTTTAATATATTTCGAATAAATTCAATTATTTTTATAAATAGTAAAATTCTTCGCAAGAATTCAATTATTTTTATAAATAGTAAAATTTTTTGCAAGAATTCAATTATTTTCAAAACATCTTTAATTAAATTTCTTGGAAGAATTCAAATATTTCCATAAAATTCAATTATTTCCTAAAATTTTAATAATTTCTTCGAATCAATTCAACTATTTTTATAAATACTAAATAAATTTTCAAAATTTACAATAAAAAAGAGTTTCAATAATTGAAATTTTGTAAAATTTAATTGAAAATAATTGATTTTTTTCAATGTGTTTTATAAAAATTTTTGAAAATCAACTTTTAAAAAATTTTAATTGCAAATTTTTGAAAATAATTGATTTCTCAAAAATTTAATGAAAAATCTTCAAGTGTAAAATTAAAAATGGTAATTAGTGGAAATTAACTTCTAAAAATTATATTAAAAATATTTTTAAAGAAAATAATTCTTAGAATCTTAGCATTCTAATTTTTTAAAATTAAATTATTTTCGATATTTTCAAATACAAATTTCCAAAAATTCAAATACATACAAAAAATAAAAAACATTAAAATTGTTTAGGTACAATTATTTTTAACATTTTAATAACATATGACAATCATGTTCAAAATTTTTAATCAAAATTCTTAAAAAAAATTTTTTTTTTAATTATACAAACATTCTTTAGAAATTTAATTGTTTTGGAAAGTTTTTAATTTTATAATATTTAAAAACTATTATATTTCATAAACCATTGTAAAAATATTTTTGAAAAATTAATTTTAAGAATTTCTGTATTATAATTTTTTTAAAATTAATTAATAACTTAAAAAACATGGACAGTTACAATCATTATAAAAAAAATGTTTGTATTTAAATAATTGAATTCTCTAAGAACTTTTGGAAAATTATTAAAAATAATTGATTTTGAGAAGAAGTTTGATTAAAAATTGTAGAAAATAATTGAATTTTAAGTGCCAGAATAAAGTTGTATTTATTAGAAGTTATTAAATTTCAGAAGGCTTTAAATAGAGTTTTTGAAAATTTTATTCCCATATAAAAACAAACAAGAATTTAGAAATCAGTGAAAGATCAGAAGATACAAAATAAAATTTTTGTGACGACACTGATTTAAATAAACGACTTTTTCGACTTTTTTTCTATTTTAAATCGACTAAGACGACTTTTTTTGCACCTTAAAGTCGATCCGAGGCCTGGGATCGATTGATTTAAATTCCAATGTTATTGCATATTTCGATTTAGGTCTTTTCATTATTATAATAATTTGAGGATTATTTTTCGTTCTGGCTTCGCTCTTTCTTCTTTTTGTTTCTGCATCCCTTTCATTATCATTTTTCGTCTAGAATAGAAATCGTATTTTTAATAAATTCGACTAGAATATAGAAATTCGTATTTAATAAATATTTGATAGAAAACAAACAATCGAAATTTGCAGGAAATTTCCTGAAAAGCAGTAGCAGCAGCAGCAGCAGCAGCAGCAGTAGCACAAAAAGAAAATAAGATGCTTCCACTACATCATCGTGACAATCCAAGTATTTTAACAAGAATCAAAGAAAAATTGCAAAGTTGGCTGCGTCTAGTTTTCGCTGACAAGAATACAAGAAATTTATTTTCATTTCTATTGATTAATTTTGCCTTTGCATTCGTTGAATTGTCATATGGTTTTTGGAGTAATAGCTTGGGACTAATATCAGATGGATTTCATATGCTATTTGATTGCGCCGGTCTTATCACTGGTCTTGTTGCATCGGTGATAACGAAAAAACGTGCCAATGAACGTTTCACCTATGGCTATGTGAGAGCTGAAGTTATCGCCGGTTTCATTAATGGCCTATCATTACTTGTTGTTGCAATGCACATTATGTCAGAGGCAATTGAACGGGCCATTGAACCACCGGAAATAAAGCACGAGAGATTATTTATTATCTCCGTCGCTGGACTAATGGTGAATTTAATTGGAATATTTGTCTTTCAACATGGAGGAGGACATCATGGTCACAGTCATGGAGGAGGAGGTGGTGGTGGTCATGGACATGGACACAGTCATTCGCAGTATAATAATCATGATCATTCCCATAATCATGTGGACGAACATCATCATCATCATTCGCACGATTCGGATATTTCGCCGCAAAATTCGCAGATAATGAAGGGTGTATTTTTGCATATTTTGGCCGATACACTTGGTTCGGTGGGAGTTATTATATCGACATTGTTGATACAATGGTTTGGTTGGTTGATTGCCGATACTATTTGTTCGATGTTTATTGCTGTTTTAATTGCAATTAGTGTTGTGCCGTTAATTAAGGAGACGGGTGTGATTTTAATGCAGCGACAGCCAACGGCATTGGACAAAGTATTGCCGCAATGTTACAATAAAGTTAAGCAATTGTCGGGTGTTATTGGTGTTCAAGAGCCACATTTTTGGAGTCTTAGTTCGGAAATTTATGTTGGCTGCTTGAAATTAGAAGTCGATGCACGAACTGTTGAGCCTAAATATGTTCTCGCACATACGCAGATGATATTTCAAGCGGCTGGTGTACGACAACTTACTATTCAACTTGACTATGTTCCGGCATGATGCGGGAATGATGATTTATTATTGTATAATAGTAATAGTATCGATGAGAGCTTCCATATTCTATCGGTTTGTAAGGCATTCTGGGCGTGAAATTTCCTTTTTTTCCTTTTGTCGAATTTTCCTTTTTGTAAATTGATTTTTGCTACTTTATAAGGCGGCCAATTGCAAATCTCGACGAGATTTCAAAAACAATTTTAGACTTTCGTTCCTTTCTGACCTCTTTAGATTGTAGGACAAAAGTTCCAATCCAAAACTTTTTTAATTAAATTATTTTAATGAATTATATTTAATAACATTATTTACACATAAATCACATTCTTGCTATTAAGAAAAATCGTTTTAAAAAAATATCGCCATTTAATTCCGTTCAATTTGGAATTTAGAGGAATTTAAAATTTTCAAGTGGATCAGCTGTTTTATTTGTCCGCCGACATTTTGTTTCTTGTAATTCTCAGAAGAGACGGATTACAGTGTACGAAAAAGTTTCTAAATTTAGAGTTTGAATTTTGAAAAAAAAAATGCTGGACCTTTTGGTATTTGGAAATAAGAATTATTGGACCTTTTGATTTTTGGAACAAAGAATTATTGGAACTTTCGTCCTCCAACCGATTCTTTAAACTGTTCGTCTTTCTCTAAATTTCCCAAGTGATTTTTATTCTTGTTGCTATTTTTTTTTCTCCTGGAAAATTAGAAATATTTGTTTTTGAGAATATCGATAAATATGGCAAAGATTTTTTTTTGAACCAAATTTTTAAAAACCAAAATTTTTTCTTCCAATTTTTTTTACAAAATAAAAAAATTACACAGTTAAAGAATTGCAAGGTAAAAAATAATTTACATAGTTAGAAGATTACAAAGTAAAAAATTTACAAAGCAAGAAAATTACAAACTAAAAAATTTACAAAGTAAGAAAATTACAAACTAAAAAAATTATAAAATAATTCATTTTTTCGAATAATGTAAAAAAAAAAAATGAAAATTTTTTGACAAATAAATAAACGAAGGAAAAGTAAAGGAAATTATGATACGTCTTGAATTTACATATTCATCAATATTCTCTCGAAGGGAAGCCTTTATTTCAAGACTTTGGCGTATTATATTCAACTGAATCATTCCTTTTCTTAAAAAAATAAAAAGTGTACCAAAAGACAATTTTACAGAAATATTGTGCGATTGAATGCCATTGTTGCGAATGTTTTATTTAACCGTTAGAAAAAAATGTAAAACTTTTCATTTTTGAAAGGTTCAATATTTTGTTTTCATCAATATTAAAAAAAAAGATGAAATATATTTTGGAAATAAGTCAAAATCAATTTGCAAAGACATTTTCTATAATGAAAATACATAGTTTTAAAATTGGAAAAATAAAGTAAAATAATAATAAAATCAACAATAAAAATAAATTTAATAAGTGAAGATCAATTTAAAATACTGTAAAATTAAATTTAAAAAAATAAAATAGAAATGCAATACAAAGGAAATAATATTTTGACAAATACCAAAATATATTTGATTCTCGCTGTATAAATAGACTTGCACTTCTGTGAAATGAAGTTTTTTTTGAATATTGTTAAATGGTTTTTTGCAAAGGAAGTTTTTTTTTCACAACACTTCATTTTTATTTTGCAATTCAAGCAACTTAAAAAATATATATATATATACTTTTTAAGATTTAAAGAAATTTATTTAAAAAACTAAAATAGAATTCTTAAATTATAATTTGTTTTACAATTTCAAAAAGCAATTTTTAATCTTCTTTCAATTTTACAAAAGAAGGATTTAAAAATTGATTAAAAATGGAAATTTAAAACAATTTTTTTACTTTTTTTGTATGTTTTCTGAGAATGTGATTCTGCTATTTTTCCCTCACGAAATATACAAAAAAAAAGGTAAAAATGTAAATTTTTTAATTTTAATTTCTTATCGTAATGTTATTAATTTTTAAAACTGCCACTAAAGCAGTAGGGATAATTTTTCTTTTTAATAGTAAGAAAAAAGATTTCGCACTATTTTAATTTTCAAATGAGTGAAATATAAATATCTAAATATTTTGTAATAAAATTCTAGTTTAAAAAAAAAAAAGAAAAATGGTATTTAGTGGTAAAAATTGAATTTTATTAAGTGAGAATTTTTCCAAATTAAAAGATTCATTTAGAGCATTTTTCTAGTCTGTAGAATGTTTTATTTGTGATTTTTGTTTTTAAATTTCGGCTGTTGTGCAAAAAAAAACAAAAAAACAAAACAAAGAGAATAGAATCGAATTTTCCATCAGTGAAAATTCATTTAATTTTTTTTTAAGAATTAAATCAAATTTAATTTTTGTATTTAAAAATTGGTTAAATTTATAATTTTACAATATTAGTTTTAAGTATAGTAAAATTTACTCATGTGAGTATAGTAAACTTTACTAATTAGAAGTATAGTAAAATTTACCAATTAAAATATAGCAAAAGTTGTCAATTGAAATTCGGTAAATTTTACAAATGGAAATATAGTAAAATTTATTTTTTAATTTTGAAATAATATTCGTAACATTTACTCTAGTGCAATTCATAAATTTGACTGTAATTCATATTGTAAAATTTACCAACTGTAAAACAGTATAATTTAGTAAATTTTACCAACTGCAATAAAGTAAATTTTACAAATTGAAATCTAGTAAAATTTACCAACTACAATAAAGTGAATTTTACAAATTGAAATATAGTAAAATTTACCAACTACAATAAAGTAAATTTTACAAATTTAAGTATAGTAAAATTTGCCAATTGCAATACAAATAGAAATATAATAAAATTTACCAATTGCAATACAGTACATTTTACAAATTGAAATATAGTAAAATTTATAGATTAACCTACAGTAAATTTTATAAAAACAATTTTTAAATAAATTTTACAAATTGAAGTTTAATTTTTAATTTTGAAAAAAGTGTTTAGTGTAATTCTAAATGTTTTTATAAGGAAATTTTCATAATTTTAAGGGGAAAAATTTCTTTTTTAAATAAGCAAAAAAAGAATGTTTCGCCCCTTTTCTCTCCTGCATAAAATTAAAAAAAATATTTTTTTTGTGAATTTTGCATTTATTGCTATTTAATTAAAAAAAATAACGTATTTTGCGTTAAAACCGTCCGTGATGTTGCGTATAAATATAAATAATTATTAATGATTAAAAATAAATAAATAATATAATTGGCTTTTTTGTTCTACAACTATTCTCATTACAATAAAGTATTATAATTTCTTTTTTGAATCCATTTAAAGAAGAAATAAAAATGGTAGAAATGAATTTTTATTTCAATTTTAAGATTAAAATAATTATTTTAAATAATTTCGAAACAAGTTTTGAAAAGAGAATGCATCGGTAGATTTTTTATCAAATTTGAAAAAAGAGTGAAAAGCATGATACAACTTAAGAGTTGTTTTTTTCTTAAAATTTTTTAATATACACGCCTTTCTTAGAATTTTTCTAAGAAACTTTTTTTAAATTTATAAATATATATATATATATATTGATGTGACTATCAATTATTATAATATATAAATAGTTATTAATATAATTGTAATAAAAATTATTGATATGTAAATAATGTTCATTTTTTTAAATATATTAATTACGATATAAATAAAAATATATAAATTAATAATAATGCGAATTGTAAGAATAATGGTAAATTTCGTTGTTCTCGTCTTGAGATATATTAACGATTATTCCTATTCCTATACTCTTTACTCAAATATTTCCTTCTTGTTCTTTGATAAATTTTTACCTTACTCGAAAATTACAATTTTTTACTATTAGTATTCTAAAAGTAATTATATTTTTTCCGTAGAATTTATAAACTTTTTTGTTAATTCAAAAAAAATTATGTATTTTGATTTATTATAATAATTAATCAAACTTTTGAATTAATTTAATAATTTAATAAAATTTAATGTTTATGTAATGTTTGTCGTTCGGTTAACGCATGCTCGATAGTTCTATCGAGCCTATTTTTGTTAAATAATACATATGCGTATTTTTTAGTTTAGTTATTCGCTTTTTTTTAATTATTACTCTTAGTTAATTTTTCTGGATTTCGAATATTGTGACTTTTATAGTTAATTGAAATGATAAAATTACAATTTTATTTTCATTAAATATTATTTTATACTCATATGCTTGTAAAACTCGTTTTATTGTGCGTGTGAAGTGAGTTGTTAAATTAATATTAAAGAATAATTTAAATATTATTAAATACTGAATAATATACTAAATAATTTGATTGTATTACATATAGCTGAAAAGAAATGGAGCGCGTGTGTTGAGCTGCAACCATGAGAGTGAGTGAGAAAGAGACATTCTCCCCACTGCGGGCAGTAAGAGTGGGGATGCTGCCTATAAGTACAAGTTGCGCCTGGCACAGTCAGTCCCAATCTGGCAGTCATCGACATTAGAACCACGTGTTACTTATTCACCACATTATTTTTAAAACCACGTGGTTCTAGCACAAACTGTATTACGTTTTCGTTAATCGCAGTTAAATTATCCAATTTTTTTAACCAAATAAGTAAAAGGAGAAATAATTTTTGAATAACAAATTAATTAGATTCGGGAGTGTTCGAATTTTTCTAAAACCGCGATCGAAAGTTTAGGGAGTTTTACAAGTATTTTTGTTTCATATGAAGAAAATTGTAAATAAATAATAAATTTGTAAGTTGTAAATTCGCGATAAAATTTTTAATTTACGGGTTCATTTTCATTGATTGTATAATTAGCGTATTTTTTCCTCTTATCGTAGACAATTATAAACAAGTTGTAAATCCAGATGTTCATTACATGAACATTTTGCTTCCTCTTTACGATCAGCAAAAAAAATTTGCTTCCTCGTTGAGGAAGCATTAACGATAAGTATATTTCATTTTTAAATCTTTTTTTATACAATTTAACATTTATAAAATAAAGTTCATTCGTCTTAATAGACGAATTATACAGTAATATGAATCTAAATAAACAAAAAAAATGTGGATTTTTCACCTTTAATTGTAATTAATTCTATAATTTTCAATAGAATATATACTTTATATACATGAATCGATTCGTCTTGATGCAAAGAATAAGATTTTTGATTTATTTTTCAATAAATAATAACATTTTATTGTACAGCAACATGATTTTTAAGAAAAAAAGAATTTTTTAAAAGAGCAAATTGTTTTGTCTATAATTGGTTTTAATTCTATAAATTTAAATACAATATATACTTCATATATACCAATCGCTCCGTCTTGATGCAAAGAATAAGATTTTAGAATTAAATGATTAAGATTT